TAGCTATGGAGTGTTATAGATAGCTATGGAGTGTTATGGATAGCTATGGAGTGTTATGGATGCCAGTGGAGTGTTATAGTTAGCTATGGATTGTTGTAGATACCTATGGAGTGTTATAGAAAGCTATGGAGTGTTATGGATACCATTGGAGTGTTATCGATAGCTATGGAGTGCTATGGATACCAGTGGAGTGGTATAGGTAGCTATGGAGTGTTATGGATACCAGTGGAGTGTTATAGATAGCTATGGAGTGTTATGGATACCAGTGGAGTGTTATAGATAGCTATGGAGTGTTATGGATACCAGTGGAGGGTTATCGATAGCTATGGAGTGTTATGGATACCAGTGGAGTGTTATAGATAGGTATGGAGTGTTATGGATACCAGCGGAGTGTTATCGATAGCTATGGAGTGTTATGGATACCAGTGGAGTGTTATAGATTGCTATGGAGTGTTATGGATACCGGTGGAGTGTTATCGATAGCTATGGAGCGTTGTAGATACCTATGGAGTGTTATAGATAGCTATGGAGTGTTATGGATACCATTGGAGTGTTGTCGATAGCTATGGAGTGCTATGGATACCAGTGGAGTGTTATAGATAGCTATGGAGTGTTATGGATACCAGTGGAGTGTTATACACTGCTGTGGAGCGTTATAGACACCAGTGGAGTGTTATAGATACCCATGGAGTGTTTTAGATAGCTATGGAGCGCTATAGATACCTCTGGAGCGTTATAGATACCTCATGGAGTGCTATGGATACCAGTGGAGTGTTATAGATACCTATGGAGTGTTATAGATAGCTATGGAGTGTTATGGATACCAGTGGAGTGTTATATGTTATAGATACCCATGGAGTGTTTTAGATAGCTATGGAGCGCTATAGATACCTCTGGAGCGTTATAGATACCTCATGAGTGTTATAGATACCTATGGAGTGTTATAGATAGCTATGGAGCGTTATAGATACCAGTGGTGTGTTATAGATACATATGACGTGCTATAGATACCTATGGAGTGTTATAGATAGCTATGGAGTGCTATGGATACCAGTGGAGTGTTATAGATAGCTATGGAGTGTTATGGATAACAGTGGAGTGTTATCGATAAGCTATGGAGTGTTATGGATACCAGTGGAGTGCTATAGATAGCTATGGAGTGTTATGGATACCAGTGGAGTGTTATCGATAGCTACGGAGTGTTATGGATACCAGTGGAGTGTTATAGGATAGCTATGGAGTGTTATGGATACCGTGGAGTGCTACAGATAGCTATGGAGTGTTATGGATACCAGTGGAGTGCTATAGATAGCTATGGAGTGTTGGATACCTTGGAGTGGTATAGATAGTATGGAGTGTTGGATACCAGTGGAGTGTTATAGATAGCTATGGAGTGTTAAGGATACCAGTGGAGTGTTATGATAGCTATGGAGTGTATGGATACCAGTGGAGTGTTATAGATAGCTATGGAGTGTTAGGGATACCAGTGGAGTGCTATAGATAGCTATGGAGTGCTAGGGATACCAGTGGAGTGCTATAGATAGCTATGGAGTGCTATGGATACCAGTGGAGTGTTATAGATAGCTATGGAGTCTTATGGATACCAGTGGAGTGTTATATATAGCTATGGAGTGCTATGGATACCAGTGGAGTGTTATAGATAGCTGTGGAGTGTTATGGATACCAGTGGAGTGTTATAGATAGCTATGGAGTGATATGGATACCAGTGGAGTGTTATCGATAGCTATGGTGTGTTATGGATACCAGTGGAGTGTTATAGATAGCTATGGAGTGATATGGATACCAGTGGAGTAGATAGTACGGTTAAATATAGTGTATATGTTTGGAATCCCTCTGCTTATATTATGATTGGACTATTTCGGTTGCTCATATATCGAGAAAAGGCCATATTATTCGCATACATAAACTCCAAAAGTTAGCTCTGAGAATTATATACGAAAAACCGAAGCTAACCTCTTCTGGGCCACTATTTAAAGCTGCTGGAGTCCTGCCTGTACAGCAAAGAGTAATGCTACGAACAGCAATAATGGTATATAAATCATTAAACAACTGTGTACCCAAGTACATAAGTAACTTGTTTGTCTTAAAGTCATCAGTGACAAAACGAATTACAAGAAGCTCAGAGAACAACGAACTGTGGATACCGCAAACGAAACTAACAATTAGGCAGAAAACGTTGAAATTCATAGGTGCAACATTATATAACAGTTTACCACGTGCGACCAGACAATCAACGTCATTAAGCTCCTTTAAAATAAGAGCCTATCAATACTTTTTAGATACTTATATATCAGTTATTTGTTTGTACGGCATTTACATGTGCTTGTTGTACTGATGTCCAATTTAATGTGTAGTTGTAATAGTAGATTTTGAACAGAAGGCCCAGTGTAAGATTAGCGTTGCTAAACTGTTTTTTGTATAATTGCACCTTCTTTAAATAAAGTTTATTATTATTATTATTATTATATTCACCTACATCAAAACACACACAAAAAATATTATTACATACGTAAGATATTAACTTGTTAAAACACTAAACAATAGATATTTTCAAATGCTTTCAAATGCTTTCAAGTGCTTTCAATTTTCGGAGTATCTATTGTTTTGTATTTTATCAAAATACTCAGTGGTTCTCGCAATATTAACTTGTATAGTAGTATTCCGGTAATGTACAAATATATGGACTAAAATGTTCCAATTATAGTTGAAACATTCCTATTTCCTGGTTGGGATAAAGTATGTACTGTACATAGTGAATTTTTCGGCTTCCATAGGCGGTTTCTGGCAATGGAACCTCACGTTTAGCGAGGATAGTAGCAGGAAAAGATAGGACAACCTGACAAATGTCACCTTCTGCCTAGCCGGTAACATGAACAGGGCCCAATTGATTGGCTAGTAAACCAGATGAGGTAAAGCAATGAATTTCATATGTTTATAAATTTTGATATTTGAACAGCAACATTGAACAAAATAATTTTGTGCCAAAGTTTCCCACCTTCCTTCAGTTAGGACTCCAAGACCAATGAACAAGTTGCCATTCAGGGATTAAAAACAATGCAGACAAGTGTTATTGTAAGTCTAACGGAATATTTATGTCTACAGGTAGCCTGGCTGCTATGTAGGTGAGTCTACAGGCTGCAATACAATGTTGACCGATTATCCAGAGGTCTACCAAATGTCCAAGCTGTACCATTTCCACATGCTCCGTTTGGAGCCAGGGGTGGTAGAGCCAACTCTATTGTGTTCAATACCCAGGCGTTTAAGGACAATACAGTGCGTAAGTCATGGAAGTAGTTTTAAAATGTTTGAGACAAGATACAATTTAATGTGTGCAACAAGTTCCTGGGCCTTGGTATCGTTTGACTTTTCGCTCGATGGAATATAAACAATTAAAGTGTTTCAAGTGTGGTCAAAATGTTCATATATACAACGTCAATGTTTCAAGTGTTCTCTAGTGGCGTCTCCCGGTCGAGTGACGAAGATGTGGACCGTGCGGAGACGACAGATTGTAAGGATCCAGAAGGCATCAGGGATGCAGTCATACTCGGGATAACCAACAACGCCAGCCAACACCACCCAATAGAACGAGAAATCGAGGACATCAAACGGAAAGCAGAAGAGGGTTTCCATACCTGAAGAGGCCATTCCAGTTCCTAAGGACCTCACCGGCAAACGTATAAGTGATATGGTAGCTCACCTGAAGAAAAGACAAAAAAAGACGGATAAGTCGTAAAAGAAGAAGAGGAAAAAATAAACAGTAAGGAAAAATGGCAGAATGAACGTGGAATCTTTAAATGTTACTTAGAGATTATCGAAAGCGTCGTCTGCTCTTTGACGTTATAAAATATAAAAAATTTGATGTTATGTTTCTTCAAGAAACGCATAATGCAACCGTTGAAGATAGTGTAAAATGGAACAACCAGTCGGGACTGAAAGGGTATTGGAATCTTGGATTGACAAATAGTTGTGGTATTGGAATAATACTCCGTGATCCCGAAAGATTCAAACAGTGTACTTTTCGTGTCTTTTACATGATTATATTTGTACTTGAAATGCCGATGCGAGGCGCCTTCGAATTCCCTTTGAACGTTAATTGAACGTCAAAATAAGGGGGAAATGGGAATATTGATTAATAAACCTAATAAATCTAATTGCCATCCCTTTTTTTCTAATTTGTTCTACTTTTTCGGAAACAAATTCCTCGAACTTAGTTTAATAAGTTTCTTGCAACGTTATATCTGAATGAGTAAATTACACATGCATTCACAACCGTACGTTCCAAAGAATCCACTCAACATCTGAAACTTAATTTTAATTCAATGTCCATTCAACGTCTGAAACTCAGAAAGGCGTCTTTTAAACTAGCGTGACGACAATTAAATGACGTTCAACAAACGCCGTTATTTATACTTGATTTGGACGTTGATTTTAACCTTTTCACTCTCTAATTAATGTTTAAAAGCTATACTTTGTTTTAACGTTGATCAGTCTATGAACATTTCATCAATATTGTTTTTTTGGACGTTGATTCAAAGTCAGGAGAGCAACGTTGATCCAATTTGTATTTTCAACCCATTTCAGCATCGATCTGACCCGGCCGACGACGGCCGGCCAAAACCTGAAAATGTACACCAAAATTTGTTTGTTGACATTTTCTGTTGCAAGCTGCCAACTCGCATTTTTTCAGAGTATAGGCATTAATAAAGAACACTATTTATGTGGCAACTCTGATTTTCGCTTTTTAACCGAAAATTTGAGAATTTTAAATGTTGCCTTTTAATTAAAGTACTATGTTGACAAGGATGCAAAAATTTCAAGTTCATTTTTATCAAAAATACACTATACCATTAGAATATTCGCGAAAAAGTATGCATGAGACACTTAAGTGACGTCGACTAGTATGATATTCCTAGCCGATTTTGAGTTTTGAACGTTCAAAAATGAAGAAAATGTGCTAGCTAATTTATGCTAAAAGCTACTATTTTGCCAACTTGGAGCTCATTGACTTCAAAAGCGACTTGAAAATTCGCATTACTCGCTTGATTGTTTTAGTATATACTTTTTTCCGATCTTTCTATTGGTGTACGTAGTTTATTTTTGTAAATTTGAAATTTTGCATTTTTGTCAACATAATACATTTATAGGCAAATATTTTAAGATTCTCAAATTTTCGGTTATAAAGCCAAAATCAAAGGTGCCAAAAAATACCATCAGAGTGTAACTTTGAGAAATTTGGCCGGTCGTCTAAAAGTCTGAAATGGCCTTGTTTTAATTTGTATCAACGCCATTTTCCCCGGTGGGTATAGCTACTTATAACAAAATCACAGCATGCAAATAACACTACATAATAGGTACAATTTGAATTATCGAATGTTTCTATTAGGTGCTTTGTAAAGGCTTTTGTGTTAACTCAAAAACCACATGAATAATAAAGATAATTAAGTGTTTTTTACGTTTCACATGCAATGACGCAAGCAAATTATTTATAATCGATGCATACAAGGAAAGCATGCAAATGCAATTTAAAATTGAACTAAATTGCGGGAATACTTTATTCCGGTAACACCTGTATACAATCTAATCGGGCAGCCACCCGAAAGAAATGTGAGTGAAGAGCTGCAACTATATTATGTTTTGATATTCAAAAACCGAGATTATGTGAGACATCTTTAATTGTTGACTAATTTATTTTCTGTTAGTCACGAATTACGACGAGCGAATGTGAATTCATTTCTGTTTGGAATAACTTTGAACAATTACAGTATGGAAAATACCAATACCAGTTTAAAACATAGTATTGCAAATATAGGTGTAGATACTTAGTTAACAGCTGCTTATACTTGCTACCCGTATAGCGCGCGTTACAGACTGCATAACATTGTAAGTAGCATAAGCATATATTTTTGTGAGCATTAATCTATTTTACAGGGTCTTGTGCGGCTTCAACTTTATCTAGTGCCAATAAAAAATGGCTCACTTAGAATATTTTATACCTCTTGACTATGTCAAAGGTATCTAACATGCAGTAACTATAGAAATATTTCACTAAAGCTAGGACCTTGCGCGCATTACCCTGAAAGTATGTGTTTTGTTTTGACACATAGGCCTACACAACTCTGTGCATGTTTGTTTTGCCTTATAAATTATTAGGCGAAATGTCGATTATAGTCTTGCGAATCAGAATGTATGATTCTATATCAGAATGTATGATTCTATATGACTTTGAATGCATTAATATTTTGGGTACTTATTTCAGCATATGCATGGATATTGCTGCCCCCTGGTGATAAAGTCCGACGTAGCTACATGCTTGGAATTCCTTTGATTGATAGCGCTCGGGGCGCGTAATTCGGTAATGTGGTTTCATCACAAAATGTGCATTGCATTTCTGGCCATATCTGAAAACCCACAAGAAGATGGATATAAGGTGATTATTGCAATGAACAGAGATGAATATTTTGATCGACCAACGAAAGAAGTACAATTTTACAAAGGAGACCCTGACATAATAGCTGGTGAGCAGTTATGTTTAGTTTATGAGGGTACCTCGATGAGCAAAAAGCATTTGTATAACATTAAGAATAAATAGGGAATATTATAGTCGACGTAGGTACGATGACAGCAGCTATCACGGTATATAGGCTAAATACTGAACTCACCGTAATATATGTGAGGTTACTTATAAGCCATGCCACAATTAAGCTCAAAAATTTCGAATGTTCTTGATATTTAGGAAAATATGGCCTTGCAAGCCTAACAATTTTTCTTTCAACGTATATTTAGAACGCTTATTTATGTCATATTATTTTCTCTTCTTTCTATTAAAGTAACGCATATTTGTGCGCTAGTTGTTTATACTGGTGCCGTGCATGAACATTTTGCCACAACATGTCTTATAACGGAAATTCCCCAGGACGATGACGTATATATAAGACCGAGTAATATTGACCACTCACGGGCATTATTAGTGCGGGAATAGCGAGCAACTCCTAGAACAAGACATGCAAGCTTTCATAATATTAAAAGTGTTTTAAGCAGGCAAATTTAGACACTTCATGCTAGTTTGATCATTTAACGAGTCAACATACAGTTCCTCATCCATAACCCCCAAATGTTTCCATTTGCGAGATATTTTCTCTCAAAACATGTATTTCGTTGATTTCAGTGGTCTAAGAGTTTTGTCGTGTATAAGCACGTGTATAAACACGCCAAAGTAAATCATTATATGAAAGCATTTACACCTGCGAGGCAAATCCAAAAGAAATGTGGAATCTGATTGTTCGTAAAGTAAGGAATGAATACACCTTCGATTATATCAACAATAAAAGAAAAAATGCCTAAGCATTTTATCTTGTATTGTTGATATAATCCAAGGTATATTCATTCCTTACTTTATAGGCCGTTTGTCGAGGCATAAAAAAGTGCCTATAAAACGATTTTCATTTACCGTACCTCGTAACTCAAATACTTTTACATAACTTAGCACTTCTAAACATGCTGATTCTGAATCCGAACAGTTCCCGCTCCGTAGAACCGCAGTATTTTTGTAAAATTCATGTTTATTTGCACTCCTTTGACGAAATTCCAACAATCGCACGCGATTTTGTTTATTATTCCTCGATGCTTCGAATTAAATTGCATCGCTCAAATGTGTGTTTACTCCGTTCCAGTCTCTTCAAATTGCGGCCGCGTTGTCATTTAGAACGATGGGATGTTACTAGTAATGTGGGGGAAGCCCACTGACCTATAAAATAACTGGAACGCTAAAACCAGGTGAATTTTTGAAGCCAGCTTGAAACCTAACAGAGTTGACGTCGGAGCACTCTTCGAAACCGTAAAGATGGCACACGTAACCATACAAGCCCTCCTTCAGTGGTGTCGATGCCGTGGCTTCTCTGCCGACGTTCCAGAAGAGATCTGCATATTTTTCTTTCATTCTTGCGATTTTCAAAGCAGTAACTTTGCCTTTACCGTAGAACGCACTGGTGGTATCACAACCTGGAGAAAAAATAATACAACTAAGAAAGAGTATAATAGAAATGTAACTCTATCGCATAGTTAATTAGAAATATATACAATATTTATTTTGGTAATGTTCAGTTTGTACCTGTAAATGCATGAAGGCCTAGTAGTGAACTGCACCATTGGTCTCCAAGAGAATGCCTGATTTTGCTGAGTGATATAATACGTCTTCCATTACCCGTACCAGTTTCAAACTATATATCGGCATGAATGTCTAAGCAGGCGTTAAGCGCAATCAAAAACACATCTGTATCTGGACTCTTGATCATGATACTGGAGTAAAATTGAGAAGCGTGTCGTGCATGAGCAATCATCCGCTTATCAGCCTCTTCATGATCACAGCGAAGTTCTTCAGTAACATTGCACACCATCACGCCGTCCGACTGAGCAAACCTGTGGCAGCTTTCTTCGTGTGCTAAATATACTTCCACGCCCTTTAACAACTGCGGATCCGCTTTTTTCCAGGCATCAAATAAGAATTTCATCAGCTCTTCTTTGTTTTCGCCAGAAGACATAAACTTTTTCCACTGACGTGGGACCCGCTGTTGCTCACCATAAATGCGAATCACTTGGACGCCGCCCACAGCTCGCCTATCCCTCTCTAGATTCTTGATGCTTTGCAGCGGATAGCGGTCACAGACGAAATCCACCCGTTTGAAATTGGAATATACTGCAGCGTTGACAACTCTTATAAGTAGATCGATTGCTAGTTCACCAAATGTAACTGGAAGAACTGTCAACGTTTGCAACATTGCCATTGCATCTAGAATGTACGCCTTTTCTCCAACAGGAAGATTGACTGAACTACCTTGAACTTCCTCTTCAATGGCATGAAGTAATTTCGCCTTCACAGTTTTCACCAGATCTCCTTCGTTTGTTGCCAATGCACGTGGAAATGGGCGTAGAGAATATTTCAGTACTTTCTCCATTTGTAGATGTCGACTCCTAGCAATCAGAAGCATTTTTGCGAAAAGAATTTTCGAGTTTTTCAATGCCACAAGTTCGCCTTTCTTACTCTTGCTCGTGACCTTCTTTCCTAAAACAGAGAATGTTTGCAAGTTTGTTTTGGTTATTGTTGAGTAGATATTCGGTTCTTCTCCAACAATATGGGTTTTCATGAATTTCAGTGCAGCACTTTCGCCCTTTTCTAGCATAGATCCCATGTCATTCACTACTGCAGATGTGGCAATAGTTCCGCTTGCTAAATGCACTAATACACCGTGGTCGTTCTCGAAGGGATTTATCATGGCTTCCATCGTTAGGGTGACATCCAGTACCGCTTTTTCACTCGCTTCTATCTTTGTTTTGTCCAAATCTTTTCTAGTCCTGGGTAAAAAGAGTAATTATAAATATTTTTGTAAATATGCATGTCATCCGTTTGGTTACGTACTGAAAGGAAATTAGTGATTAAATCTACCTACCCTTCCGAAGGGTGTTTGTGGAAAAGTGGACTTTGACAAACATCCCTCGTTTGTAAGTAAATTTAGTGGTTAAATCACTCGGACAGGAAAGAACCCGAGGTGAGCATGGTAATACACTAATAATGCAACATTGAAATATTAAGTTACCTTTTAAATTCGGTTACGTTTGCCATGGCTTCACACTGTCTGGTAATTGCACTTCTCTCTGCTTGTCCCATTAACCAACGATGCACAGCTCCTTTGTTCAACGTCACTCCTACCATACCACCTTTCATTTTAGAATCTCTGTACTAGAAATACATGCATGCAATAACCCCTCGCCTCTTTTCAAAAGTTGTATACTCAGTGCCGTTGCGAGGATTTTGTCTCAGGGGGTGTGTGAGTTTAGAAGATTGTTACCAAAATGTTTCCGGATATACAAAAATTTTCGGGACATCATAATTTTTCCGAAAATACGTATAATATTTCCAAATTCATTTTCTCATGTACAGATCTGCAAATCTACTTGAAATTAACCTGAAAGTCCACTGGAAATCTACCTGAAATTGCTCATGAGTAATTATCAGGGGTGTTGAACCCCCCCCCCCACCACCACCACCACCAACACACACACCATGGTGCGTTTCAAGCAAACAGTCTGATTTATCGTCCATGTATTTCACCTATCAAAGAATTGTGCATTATACTCTAAGCGTTTTGCTGTTGTCATGCTCTAGCATGGTTCAAGTTTATGAATTTTTAAACAACAACTTGACTGGTTTATAATATTATTATCAAGTTATCAGTGATCGCAAAACCTCCAAATCCTTAATTTCGAATGCCCCGCCCCGGGCCAGGATTTGAGTGAAATGCCCAACCCCCGCAATGTGCTTTACAGGAAAATGGCTGGGGGGAGGGATGGGCATGTTTGAATTTGGCTGAAGCATTAATTTAAAAGTCATGGAAAAAGAGAAACTTTTCATATTGCTACTATGAAATGGGTTATCGTGCTTATTCCTGTACTTATTCCTTACTACAGCTTGTCAAATATGTACTTGCTAGAAGTTATATTTACTATCATCACTGGATGAAGGAGTAGACATTTAATAAATACTGGCCAATAAACAGAAATGTATTTTATTGAACTGGTTTATCTATAGATTTTATAGCAAATAGCAACTGTAAAAACTTATTCCTTGTCTTCACATCGCTTTATACTGTTAGCCAATGCTTTTTTACATATTCTAGAATCAGTTCCTTTTCCGGTAACTACATTTCTAAATGAAATCATCGCGACTACTGAGTGTTGAGCAGGCCGTTACACTATAAATAAATTTTAGGAATTGATAACAACTTTGAAAAATAAATGGTTGCACATTCGGTCACAGTCGGAAAAATGTTGATAGTATGTTGTACCGTTGCTTACAACTAACAATGAACAGTCGCTCACAAAAACATATTCGCGTCTCTAAGTTCGTGTGATCAGAATCCTCAATGTTTGTCAAGAGCAACAACACTTAATCGTTCTTTCTCATGTGTACAATAATAAGTAACAAAACTTTATGTAGTCGGAAGGTGTTGGGCTAGAGACCTACTGGAAACCTTAACAGGCTTTTTAATGAGAATAGAGAATGTTTTATCCGCAACTGTTCACCCTTAGTTGCAACCGACGGTATTTGAAAGCATGAAATTGCATGTGATAACTGATATAAAGTAAATACTGTCACCATACTGACTTGAACGTGTATGATAAACACTTTATTGAAAAATTGTGAAGAAATAGTCGAATATAGAGGAGTCGAATGTAGAGGGGTCGAATATCATACTTGTATAGCTATCATTGGTACATAGCGCTGTGAAGACAAGCCGCAAGGTACTGTAATTTTTACACATTTGTAAATATCTTATAATGAACGAATAAAGTATACAGTATTTATAGAGCAATTATACAGAACACGAGTATTAGGCCACATAAAATAAATTCCTTGATTCTCATCACCGCCCGATTGTATTTTCAGAGCCGTGTGAAAATTTTTAAAATTTTGTTATACAATATAAATGTACCGCCCGACAAAATATTTCAAGAGAGTTAAGTTTCTTATATTTTATGTTGGGTTTTTAGTGCCATTTTAAACTGCCAATTTGAAACAAACTGAACCTTGAAAGAAATTTCATTGCATTTTAAAGGAACTTTGCATTCATTTCAAGGGTTCAGTCAATGTTTGTGGAGAAATATGTTTATTTCGGTTTGTGACACTTCACTTTGGAAATCACAAAAATATTAAATGTTAGGAATTATTTTTTTATTTATTGATATATAAATTATATAAATATAAAATATAAACCCTCCCACCTCTTCGACATTTTCAAAGTGTAGTGATGAGAATCAAGGAATTTATTTTATGTGGCCTTATCATGATACTGTAGTCTGTAGTTTCATGTATAAAGTAATAACAACAGAAACTAAGGGGACTGTTTGTATGAAGGCAAATTTTTAATAACTGAAAGACCAGCTTTAATACACCTAATCTGAACCGAATATTTTTATCATCTGTTTCAGAAAGTCTTGAAGGCAATACAGGGAAGAAAGTAATCAACCTGGTGAGACAGCTGGGCTAGCTTTTTCATATAAACAGCCCTAACATCAAAATCTAAGTATTTATAACGTTATTGTAAAATTCATTAAATAACATTTGTAAATTAATTAAACAACTTTAACAATTGCAGATTCGATAAAATAGCAGTAAATTACATTGATACTTTATCGAATCTGCAATTGTTAAACACAATTGCTCGGCCTCTGCTCTTGGGATTCCTTTGGGGGCACTTGATTTTGGTGTGTCCCCGCTTCCCACATAACCAACATATGACGCCTATATATATGAAAATATAAAATTCTAGTATGTAGACTGTAGTAGTACTGCATTTTAACAAATTGAGTGCATGGCAGCACTCTTCACTTGTCAAATCAACTGGTTTACGTACTATTTAAAACACGAGTAGGAGTGTTTTATCAGATATCTATATATGCATGATTATAATTGCGCTTATTTTTATTTTCCAGGAACACTGTCAAAGAAACATTCATTTTCCAACATACAATAATGATTAAAATTTGTTGTAAACTTGGTGCATTATAATAATTTTCTGAATAATATCACATGACTGTTATAATAAATAGTTTTAGTAAAGCACATACGTGAGCGGCACGCCACAGCGTAGTGACCATGAAGGCCACACTTATAGCAACGTCCTAAATTTAAAGAAAATACAACCAGTTTTTAAGAATATTCATCTAGGTTACAGTACATAACCTGTACTGGAAGTGCACTCACAAAGATATTTCGTCATATATCTAGTTATTTGACAAAATAGATATATATATATTTACCGGCTGCGAGGTCCGGATGAGAAAAACTGTGCCCGAGGTCTTGAAAACGGCCCGAGCCCGAAGGGCGAGGGACGTTTTCAAGACCGAGGGCACAGTTTTTCTCATCCGGACCGACGCTGCCGGTAAATAACGTGTTTATTTTTTATCAGATGTAAAAATGAAATTGATTAAAATTGCAGTGATGCTTGCGAACTAATTTGAGATCAGTGCAGTTGTGTATTTTCAAAGCGAGGCTCGGAGGCTGACAAAAATTGAAAAGTTAAAAGATATAAAACACGAACACGAAAACTCGAGAAAACTGGCAAGAAACACACAAAAAGACGTTTCGTTTCAGTAAAAATGTACATGCTTTTTTCATGAATATGGTAGCAGAGAAGCTTTGGAATAAAAACTTTTATGCCTGGCGTTTTGGCTTTGACAAGTTGCTCCCAGGACAACGACTGGTTCATGTTCAGATCCGATCAAAAACAATTAAAAAGGTATGTTATTTTTATACTTTTGTATTTTTTCTTGTCGTTTCACGATAATATGCTTGAAAAAAGTGTTTTTAAACACAAACTTTTACTTTGTTTAGGGTAATGCAGGGCAAAATGAGACAGTGAGGCTAAATGAGACACTCCGACTCATTCGCGCTTATATGACGTTCTATTTAATTATTTATACCACAATCATCGCAGGCTCAATAACAAACATTTTTGCTTGTATACTTCGTCGAAAACTGTGTTAAATTTGCTCGGCAACAACGAGAAAATAACGATTTTTTAAACCAATTTGGATGATCGATCGGCAATTAAAGGTACGTTATTACTTAGCTATTTTAGCTAACCGGTTGTTATTTCTAGAACATCGCATGTATCGAATAAAACCTATTTGTTTGATGGGGTTTATAACATGGTCTTTCAAGTCACACGTGGTATTTTTGTCAATTTTCATCTATACTTTGATTTTTGGCGTGTTTATTTGACTGACTTGAACTCATACCATTGAGGCAAAATGAGACAGCTGAGTCTAAACCAAGTAATATATATTTGTTCAGTGTGATGCTGTTCATTTCACCTTTTACTGTGCTCTGCCTTATTGTCAATCTGTTAATATATATGATATAAATACTATCTTGGATTATTACCAGTACTATCTGTATTATATTCCTCAATTGTTGATTTAATACCACTTTCTCCTGCTTGCAAAAGTTAAAGGGTTTATGTTTCTGATTGAATCAATATGTACATTCATTCTATAATTTATCATAAGTTCATATGTCATATATTTTATGCTATAAACAGCTTAGGCCCATTCCATTTAATGTCCACCCCCCTCCCCCCTACGGATGAGTTTTTCTGAAGGGTGACTCAAAAAGTCGTTTCTGAGGGGTTAAGCCTGTTGGCATCCTTTGATCTCTGCGATTTTTCTGAGGGGTAAGGGGAAAATTCACAAATTTCTGAGGGGTGTTTTGTGTCGGCACTTTGATCTTTTTTTCTTAGGGGTTAAAATTTTACTGACCTCATCCGTAGGGGGGGGGGTGGATTTTAAATGGAATGGCCCTTAGTCCATGTCACAAATCAAACTAACTTTTATTTTATTTAGGATGGTCAGGAACTATGTATGCAAAACTCAATGTGCAAACTGGAATGAGGTTCAAATCCGTCTTGCCATCTCTGCAGTTGAGACTGCAGACATGCCTACAGGGATTAAATCGCCGAGTCAATGGTAGGCTAAAAAATTTATCTTTTTGTGGTGAACGTTGGTCAAAGTCAATGCCTAACGAGGATGGATGACTTGTTCACAATGCAAACAATGGTGTCACGAAGAACGTTGTACTGTTACCGCAGCCAGTGTGACCTGTGTGTGTGTGACATTAAACTTAAAAATGATTTGAAACATGTATTTTATAATTAGTTCTAAAGTTCTATTAAAATAAGTATAATTATATTGACTTTATTTTTAATTTTTAGCCCTGTCTCATTTTGCCTCACTGTGCCGGGGCAAGATGAGACAATTACCACTGCTAGGTTTTCCTCGATTCAAACATTTTTTTTGCTTTACATATCTTGCTGTGAGTCAACCTCACATACCCAAGTCAAAAAGAAAATTCAAATTGCTATGCCTTCCATTCTAAGGTGTCTCATTTTGCCCTGCATTACCCTACAATATTTATATCAGTGAAAAATACATGACACAAATGGGTAGAAAATATATTCGTGACTTGTTTTCACTGCTGCTGTTAAGCCTTCTTTTAAGCTGTAATTTTTCGCTTTTAAGTGGCCGAATACATGAGCATTCAAAAAATATATAATTTTCTCGACGTAAGTTAATATATACATGTCAAATACTTTCCGACTTTCAGTCGCATTTCTATATCAAAATATTGTCAATTGTCGTGAACATCGTGCTTAGTATGAAGCCTTTAGGGCTTGATGCAATTCATTTTCGTATTCTGACTATCATTAGGCTATGTTTTTCAAACGTTTTTGGCAGATTTTTTCGTTTAAAAATTGTTTCACTCCTCGGTTTTTGGCGCAAAAACCAGAGCGGGCAGTTGCATTTCACAGCGGGCAGTTGCGTTTCAGAGTGGGTCGGATGCAAAAAACCGGCCCGCTCTGAAAGGCTCCTCAGCCAATCAGATTGCTTCATTTTCACTGATAAAAAATAAATCATAATATTACCTCTTGTCCGTGCTTGATTTCCTAAGTTAGAAAAATAGAAACAAACTTATAAGTTAATATGTATATAACTGACAATGAGGCTCATATAAACTATTGGGGTCAGGCTAACTTTGGGCATGTCTGTTTATTTCAATATTTCCAAGAAATAAACACCTACATGTATGAATCCAGACAAGATCTCTGAAGAAATATTTCCAAATTTATAGAGAAGCTGTCAGGAAGTTTGCTTTGAATTTTAGGTTAACCTAGGGTTAAGCTAACTCTGCCTTGAACAACCCACCCTAATGGTATAAATCTATTTCAAGAACTATACCTTCACGTTGTCGGCGTTCATTGTTAACTGAAATGAAAAAATGTTGATTAGTATTAATAATTAAAGAGGTGTAATTAACCCATTGAGTCACATTGCACCCTGATGCACCCTATTTTAGTATTTTACTCTGTCTAATGCCAGACGATTTTACTCGTCAAGGGGAGAGCGCTGGCACTTAATGGGTTAAACAATATAAAAAAGCATACTATTACCACGTTGTTGATGTTGTTGGCGATGAACTGGAAAGAAATAGTATTTTTGTTAGAACAATTATTACAGATTTTTATAAAGTATCAGATATAAGTAAATATCAAGAACCATACCATTTTGATGTTGTTGCTGATTCACTGAAATCAAATCATGTTATTATATTAGTATTAGTTATAACTATAATTCTGATTGAACAACACTGGATATATTACAGTAACAGTATATTCTAAACTTACATGGCTGGACCGCCTCTTCAGGTCCTCCAACCTGCTCTGCATCCTCTTCATCTACAGGAATATGTACAGTTAAATAGAAAAAATGTTGCCAAAGTTCATACGAAATCTGCGATTATTATTGGCCTGTATCATGCATGCCAGAAAACATTCACAATTTCACCATGGAGGGAATATTTGAAAGTTAATCTTTTTCTCCCTTTTGGTACATTTTCTTGTCACCTGATTAGTTTGGAATTACACAAGTGGATTACTACATTGGTTGTTGAAGTTCTCCCAACATTGGCCATACCATTGCGATCTGGATGATGATCCAACCTTGCAAGCCAGGCTCTGTTAGGGAGGGAAGCGTGAGTAGAGAGCCTGGCTTGCGAGGTCAATGATGATCCTTATCTACCGAAATGAAATAATAACTTGATTCGTTGAATGTAAATGATAGACAAATACATGTATATAAAAAACTATACCATTGCCATCCTGCTGTTGCTCATTCACTGAAATGAAATCATGTTTTAAAATTAGTATAAAATTAATACACTATGTTTAAATTATTAATTAATACTAAACTTATCATATGTTGTAAACTTACATGGTGCCACGTCACGAACTTCATCCATCATATCTATAGTTAATTGCAAAAAAACTGTTAACTCCTTTGGGTATATCTGTAATTATACCAAATATTTTACATGACAATATTTAATTATCAATCGTATAATCAATTGGGTCATTCCAGAAAATATTTCAAAACTCCCTCTTGCAAAAAACAATGTATCTATTACCCTTGGCTTTTCTCAGACAAATTAACCCTGTAAGTGGCAATGAGCCCAGATGTGCCCTACTTTCTCTTATTATTCTGTCTAATGCCAGATGATTTTACTCATCAGGGAGGGAGTGCTGCCATTTAATGGGTTCATTTATCAGACTATTTGCCTATGGACTATGTTCACCAAGTGGAAATGCGCCCAGATGTGCCTACTTTTTAAATTTACTGTCTGATGGCAGGAATTTTTCTTGTCAGGGAGAGAGTGTTGACACTTCAGGGGTTAACATACACCCATAATCTAAAAGCTCACTCACACTCAATGAGTGGAGGTTCAATCTGAGCTTTTCTTGAGTGTCAATGCTGTTTTTGAATAGGTGAAGGGTGAGCAGTCACATACTGTAGTAAGGTACGACACTACCCCCCCAGCTATTCAAAAACAGCGTTGACCCTCAAGAGAAGCTCAGACTGAACTTACACTCATTGAATATGAGTGCGAATGAGCTTTAGAATACGGGCGATAACCCCTTTCTCTCACAAGAATTAGATTTTTGGCCTTCCGAAACAGAAATCACAAATTTTCTCCATGGTCTTTCAGACTCAACCAATTTCTGTTCATCAGAATAAATCATTGAACTTAATTACCATCATCAACCAGTACATCTAAAATGAAAAAGGTTTTGTTAAAAGGTTTTATTAATTAAAGTTATCATGTTACAATATAGATCATACGAAATTACATTCTCAGTACCAGTATTAATAGTTTTTATTTAAGTTATATTTCCTTACAGAGTCTCATCTAATAAAATTAAAACACAGTGTTGTACTGAAAGTGTATTGAAATTTAACCTCTGGTAATTTTTTGTTGATTGGTATACTGTACCAGGTAGGTCTGTATTTACAGTATTATGGAATTTTCTGGAAAATTTTGGTTGAAAAGAACTGTTGTGAAAAATTTTTGCAACTTTTGTTCTCAGAAACACAACATCGGAAAATTTTTTTGAGATACCCCATTGAGATACCAGTTCGCACGGCTCTGTGAACCCGCATAAATATAAATACTGAGTGTATATTAATATATATATATATATATATATATATATATATATATATATATATATATATATATAAAACCTAGCTATTGTATATTAAATACATACAGTATTAATTGTACATACCAAGAATATTGTCATCATTATTGTCCACTAAAATTCACAAGATACAGTATACGCATTAGTTGGAAATGATTTACAATGAAGAGTTCTTAAAGGGGCCCTACAGTCATTTTTTAGTTGAAAAGCCAGGGACTCCACAGGGATTTGTTTGGCTGCATCTTACAAGCATTATCCATGAGTATGAGTATTTCCGCACACAAGAAAACGCATGCATGCAGTAGTACGCATGTCAAGTAGCGACAATAACAAAAAAATGTAAACAATACTTCCTTGACTAAAAAATTACTGTAGGGCCCCTTTAAAATGTTCTTTCATTGGTTAATAAATTAAACAACTCATAAAGCTCTTTGAAATATTTTTCAAATTATACATGTATATTCATATTCATTTAACAATTAAAGCAGTTTACTTTATTCAACTTACTTGTTTTAAACTTTGTCCTTTGCTGTAAAAGAAAACATGGAAGACCAGTTAGCATTAGTAGCACACTACAATAAAATTCCTCTTCCAGAAGGCAATTTGTATTTATGATATTGAAAACTGTTTTTTAATGCTTAATATAAATTAGCAGGCAACTTGTTTTATCATTAAAATACATTAGAGGCTGTTTTAGACTATCTCAGGAGCATACATATACAGTAAATATATTAAAAATATACTCGTACCTTTCCGTTAATATCTTTTAAATTAATCTATAAAAAAGAAGAAAAAAAATGTTTAAAAAGATGAAATTGAAATAGAAAAACCCACCAAATAAAGTAGTTTCTGCTCAAAACATATATATTATACAAATAATTGTAGTTTTTAAATATAGACAAATTTAAAAATAGCATTTTTTCGGTAAAAAACTTACTGTTAAACTCCAAATGCCCTGCGAGACTCAAAATCAAATTTTCGCGCGCTTCGTATTTATTACTTCGTACCATCGTTGCGTGAGAGTTTTTGGTAACCATAGTGATACCACAGAATACTACACAGAAGTCCATCTCCTTTGTTTTTTGCGTAAGCTCTATTCGTCATGATTCGTCACTCAGCAAGTACCGTAAACAGAAGCAGTCTCCCCCCTGGAAATACTCAAAATGGCGCATGTCCAGGGGGTGACTGCTTCTGTTTACGGTACTTGCTGAGTGACGAATCATGACGAATAGAGCTTACGCAAAAAACAAAGGAGATGGACTTCTGTGTAGTATTCTGTGGTGATACACACAATATTCACTTAATGTAGTAGAGTGAACTGTATATAGGTATATAGGGATGGAAAAGAAACTTACCTTTTATATAAATTTGCTTCAGTATCTAGACTTTTAATAAAGATATAAAATATTAATATTTACAAAGTTTTAAATGTTATAATGGCAGTATGTCGTAACATTGTTCTACTGGGGCCGGTTGTATCAAAGGCGTTTAACTTAAACGGTGTTTAGCCGCTATCCAGCGTATAAATTTCTTATCCAGCGGATAGTTAAACGGCCGATAAAATTGCGTTGTATGAAGCCCGTTTATTACCGCGTTTAACTATCCGTAGGATACCTATAATTTAACCGGAGAAAACCGGACTTTCTTGAAATTTCCTACCTCTACGTCAGCTGTTGCTAGGCCTTTGTAAACTTTTGAAGCTTTATCAAACTTGTGAATTCCACTAAGCTTCCGCAATAAAGTTTGTTGTTGTTTTTATTTGGAGTTTGCTCGTCCATTCGTTGTTGCAAATCTATATCAAACTTTTCATTTTCACATTGTGCTGAGTTTCTCATTCACTTAAATTCACTTACGGATATTTCTTTAAAGATTTTTGGCTTCTTTATGCGAAGAGTCGAAGGCAATAGCAAAAACTGTGAGTTGTATTTGGCTTTTGTCAGTTGATTCAGTTTTATACTGTTTGAAATTTGTTCCTCGACCTTGCACTTTTGTTCAAAACAATTTTAAGAACATTTTGTCCCAAGTTTTGATTGGCTGATCAAAGCGATTAACGCGAGCGAACAATTTTTTTTCGACTTTCGGCGTCTTGTTGTCTATTTTGTATACTTGTTGGCTTTCCAAAGTCATTGTTTGTTTTACAATAGCTAAAATTGGGAGTCTTACTGCTTGTTTTCAAACTATGTAATAGAAGAAAAGAAGGAGAAAAAGCCAGAGTATATATACTTAACATCTAAACATGACACTGGTGTGCGTAAATATAGCAAAGCCCACGGAATTACAAGTGAGCAAGTGACCTCAGTGTACCTCAAGACCAAGCCAGTTAAAAGTGAGTTTTTCATGTTTATTGGATTTAAAAAGATAACTCCTCCACATGATTGTGCATTTTTATAACTATCCCATGCTTTTTCATCCGAAATAATCATTGTTTTATCCTCAAACTCCGAGTTTATCCGCCGTATAGCGATTTAAACGGTCTCAAGAGACCGTATAAGTTTACACGGTGGATAGGCAAAATTTAACCGGTGGATAGCCCTAAACGGGCTTGATACAACGCGATTTCTCGAGCGTTTAAATTTTATCCGGCGGATAGCGAGTTAAACGGTGGTTAGCGAGTTAAACGCCTTTGATACAACCGGCCCCAGATGAGATAGAATAGAGCAGTAAACGGCCAATCGGCTTATTTTTTCATGCTCTTTCAGATAAAGCAATATTTTTTTTTATTGCCAATGTCCTTTAAGGAGTGAGAAAGTTAAAACGATACCAATCGAGTTTTAGAGCTTTGCTGACCATTTTAAAAGAATATATGATAAATTCAAAGGTAAGTCTATCGTATTGCATTGTCTTAAATGAATTCTCAGCTAAAATACGGCAATAAATCATTAAATGGATCATAAACTTAGCTAAATTTACTGTTGACAACGAGGTTCACAGATCCATTGCTTTTTTGCCTTGAATAGCTTTACCATAGTCATTTTACCTTAAAATGTAGCTATTGAGGATATTTCTAAGAGATTTACACAGATTATTTGCACAATCTCACGATTTAATCATGCTGATAACATGAAAATCCTTGTGCCATTCTATACTTGGCACAATCTCTACATCAATAGTTCCAGTGGCGGCGCCAGGCCTCCGAATTTGGGGCGGCATTTGAGGGGCAAACTCATATTTTGGGGGGGGTAAGATAGAATTTTTAAAGAGGTCGCCCCCCAGGAGATTCGCCCCCCCCCCTTCAAAAGGGGGGGGCAATATTCCTAGGAATATCGCCCCTGGGGGGGAATATTCTAGGAATATCGCCTCCCAGGGGGTGGGGGGAATACCCTAGGAATATCGCTCCTCTTTAGGATATTCGCCCCCCATATATGCGATGTGGTTTATTCAAATAATTTCGTGATACTTTCATCTTAATCTAACTCTGAGAATTTAACTCTGCAAAAACTAAAGCTTTTTTGTCTTTTTTAAAACGTATTATTGGAGTATTTTACCATTCAGAGATTTACAAACTATAATTGAAACTGTAAAAAACAGTTTCATGTATACGCGCATTCACTAATGAGTAATGACAACTTATAAGCCATACACTTTCCGATAACGACAAAACGCTTGTGTAGCCTTTAGTCGCCCTTAGTGACTGATAACTTTTGAAATGGGAGAGCAAAAAATAATTTGGGGGGGTCATTTCCCCCCCTCCCTTGCCCCCCCCCTGGCGCCGTCACTGAATAGTTCACCAGTTCACTAATATAAATTCAATATATTTTTGAACCAGTCCATATATTATTATACACATTGTAGTATAGTTAATTTGACCATTGAGAAGTAAGGGTGTATTTCATTACACAGACACTGCTGAATTTTAGGTTACATGCCATTGGATTGATATATAAAAAACACTTTACATTATCTTGTTGATAGAATAGTTATTTGCAGTATACTAACTGTTGGCATACTCTATATCAGGACTATCAATTGTTTTTGTCACTGGCAGTCTTTGAAATACAATCTTGCTCTGTGGCCTTTACTGACAAGTTGGCTTTTACTACATATGTGGCACTGACACTTCTTTAATTAATGCACCAGTCAATGTACACCCCCCAACCGAAGAGGGGCAGGGATTTTGACTTGGAGGGGTAGTAAAAGAGCGAAATTGTCCCTGCCCCCAGGGACATCAATGTCCCCTGCATGTCTCTCAACCCCAGGAAAATAGTTTTGTATAATCATAGATCAGTAATAGAAAATCAAATTAATTTATGTTGTTGTTGTATTTAAACTTTTCTTGTCAAGAAAACTAAAACAGCAACACAGGATATATATGTTAACCACCGTCCAAGTCTCCCATCATCGGGGGCAAATTTATAATCAAAACTGACCACTTTCCCTGCTAAACCTCCCGCCCCTCCCCGGTTGGGGGCAGGGATTTACATTGACTGGTGCACTAACTAGATGATTGCATGAAGCATTGCATGGAAGTTGATTTATAATTAGTTTATGAATAAACTCACACTTTCATTATAATGGTTGATCGAATATATCAAATGCATTTGATTGGTTGATGGTCCCTTAATGGTAATGGTAGTCAAATCTGAACCTATATAATGTCAATATACTGGAAAAGTATCAAATTAAATTTTAATTGTCAATGTTGTGGAAAGTAAATAAATCAAACAATTTTGTTTGTTTTACCTTTCAACTAACTAGTTCACTGTCACTTTGGTTTTCAAATCAAAGAATCTTTAGCCTGGTTGAGCTTTTGAAAAAGTAGCTGCTTGATTGAACGCAAGATTATTTTACTCTGTCTAACGCCAGACAATTTCACTCGTCAAGGGGAAATTGCTGCCACTCAGTGAACTCAATCGGAGCTCAATGAGCAGCAGCACTGAGACTCCCTCGATAAGTAAAATCATCTGGCATTAGATGAAGTGAAATAAACTAGTAAAGTAGGGTGCATTGGGGCACAATGCAGCTTACTGGGTTAACTGGAAAATATATTTATTATACATACACCGCCTATACTTGTATTTCAATTCACAGCATGATTTGGTATGCTTATGTCTATTTGACCCAAGTACCTGACAGGAATGATATTTGAATCACACCTGCATTCATTGAACAAAGCTAATTTAAATGTACATTAATTGTACATGAACCATGTAAATGTAAAAACTAGCTAGAGCAAAAACACACCCACACTGCTTTGTTTTTTTATTTTTCTTGAGAAGGAATAACTGAGTTACAATGAGACCAGTATCAACAATTTCAAAAAGGTATTGTACAAAAATATTACAAACATAAGACACTTTAAAGACAGAAAAAATACGAAGTATGCCACTACAGAAACTGTATTCTGTGATATAGATGATATTGCTTTAATGAAACTTGCAGCTTTTAGCAGTTGTCTAAGGGCCTGTTTATATCGAAACTGGCTGGCCCGCTAAGTGAGACAGCCCGGTAAGTAAGATCTCGCTGTCTAGTTATTTTTATAGTAAAAATTATCATTTCTATGGACAAGCGGGCAGGCCCGGTTGCCAAGACCAGGATGGAAATTTCTCCACATAAACAATCATAAGCAGGCTAGCCCGGTTGCCGGGATGTAAGTTCAAAGATACTGCCGCAAGCCATTTTTAACAACTATCAAAATAGTGTCAAAACAACAAAATTGTCGCGGTAAGCGGGATGAAATTTTCTCAAATAAACACAAGAGAAATTGCTAAGCGGGCCAGCCCAGCTTCCATACAAACAGGCCCTAATAGTCTCTATCAGGCTATTACAATGTTCTAATGTCCAAACTCTCTAAAGTATTATAAACAAGCAGAACAGACCACTTATTGCAAGTTGCTAGTAAGTCATATCAACATGTGATCTCGACAATACAGCAGGGGCGGATCCAGACCGATGCGAATGCATCGGTCAAAATTGAGAAATCATGTTGCTTGAAATAATATATAGACATATTATGCTGTCGTCAATACTTGGTAAAGCACTCAGTAATAGAATATCTTTGAATCTCTCCAGCTATCAAACCGCAAATATTTGCTTAAACTTGACTCCATGTCTGGAATACAATATTTAGGATGAAATTCAATTATATTTAAATAGTCTCAATAACAGTCGAAATTGTCAAAATAAGTCCAATATCACACAAATGTGATAATAAATGCAATCACAAATGTGTACTTTTTGTTATTTACTTTTTATTTTGCGACACTCAAGCCATTCTCGTACCCAGAGCCCTTCTTACGCGCGGTCAACAGAGCGCGACGAGGATAGGGATATCTAGTACGTATTCCTTATAAGGAGTAAGACCGTGCTATTCCCAGGAGCAAATACGAGCTATTGACGAGCAAATGGGACAGAACGACGAGCAAATACGATAGAAATCACTCCGCCAAATCCTATTTGCATATAGATCAGTTAACAGAAGCATCAAAATATAGAATTTTCCCGCGAAATTTTACTTACATAAATTTACATAGTCAGTTAGTATTTAATATATAAACTCTCGAACTCCAAAATATTTATCTAATTTAAATACTAAATAAATATTCATCAGCTTCACATGAAGGACGAGTAAGCCGAGTAAGTAATGTCCAGCAACTGGACGCATTCGTCCATTGTGAAGCAAGCGGCGTGTGATGTAAATTTTGTTCGTTGTGGGCAGACTGACTGCACTTCCTCAGGTTGCGATGGCAATCTATTTCATTGCCATCTTTGTACATTTTCAAAATCAAGGCCTAGTGAGATAAAAGAGCATTTTAAGAAGGTGCACTGGAATAATCGTGTTGATGACGGAGTTAGTTATCATAAACATCAATATTTATAACGAATATTATTAATTAAAGTGTAACAATATATAATAATTACATATTCATATATTCATGTATATATGTAGTGTGCGCCAGAATATAACCCCTTAATTCTCTTCGATTTTTATCTCACCAACAGGATTCAGCATTTTAAGATGCAAGCTGGCTTGTACTTTCCCCACAAGTAGAGGGCAAAGCAAAGACTTTAAGAACATTACCCACTACCATTGCTATGGATGTGCTGCAGGTTTCAAACGGGAAAAGGAGCTTCTACGGCATTTGAATAGCCATAGTCTAAACCTACCCGCACAACCCCGACAACAACAGCAGGAGCAACAACTAGAGCAACAACAACAACAAGAGCAACAACAGATGCAGCAACAACAACAAGAGCGACAACAGATGCAGCAGCAACAACAACAGATGCAGCAACAACAACAACAGATGCAGCAGCAACAACAACAACAGATGCAACAGCACCAAACACCACAGCAGGAACACCAACTCCCGCAACAGGAGCTGCAGCAACCCCCACAAACCCAGGAACTGATATTCGTCGACGAATCAATTACTGATTTCCAAACAGAATCATTTGATTTCAAGGCTCCTGAGACCAGATCATTACGACAACAACCACCTAAAGTCAAATGTCCTTACAATGATTGTGGTCGAGAGTTGCATCCTAATTCCTTGAGCAGTCATATCCGCACTCAGCACCAAGCAACCAATTTGAAAATCAATCAAAGCAGATATCTTAATGGTATTTGTGTAGATCGAAGAAATGGCATATACCTGGTCAGAAAACAGTGGCACGGTGTTGATTATCCAATTCATTGCCAGTTCATGGTTACACCTCCAGCTTCTATACAATGCAGTTCCCCAATATGCCGTCAGTATGCCGAAACATCCATTAGGAGTGGACAGTCTGGTTTTTTATGTGAACATTTACAATCCACACATTTCCTCAAGCCTGTTAGTAATTCCCTCCTTTCATTAGAAAAATTGGATTTTATCACCAACACCATTAAATGGTTAAAACCTGAAAGAATTGCACAATGTCGTGCATGGCAGGAAAAAGCTTTGAAGGAAAATGTGCCATTTGTTGTGCAGATGCCACCTTCGTCATCCAGTCGCTTCAACCACTTTTCTATATTTGCAAATGTCAAGGTAGATCACTATTGGTCATTTCAAAACAGGGTAATTGTCACTGTGGACACCAAGTGCATGAAATTTAATTGTAAGTGTTCATCTGGAAGAAGGTCCTGTTTGCATAAATGCATTGCCAAGTGGGCAGTGGCTCAGTGGAATCCACAGCTATTGGAATCTGTACCAATTACTTCTATCAATGACGACATAGCTGGAGAAGCGTCATCATTAGAAGACGAAAGCACTTTGGTTCCCAATGAAGAAGACCCTGAAACAACAGAACACTTTCCCACATCCACTAATGGTCCATTTTACCCTCCTGTTGGTGAATCTGCTATTAAAATGTCAGAGTATATTTTTAATAACAAGAAAATACCACCAGATCTTCCATTGTCAATTACAGTTGAAAAAGATGAATACTTGAAAAGGTTAGTTGTTTTTCAATGTTTTTGTGTACACACAACAATATGCTATAGGTAGTTGTTAAATTATGCCGTTTTTAACTCCAGTACGTTGATCCACACAATTGCTTCTGGAAGTGAATATATAATTCTTACTAAATACTAGCCCTGACGAAAAAAGTCTATAGGTGGCCTATAGGTTCCTATAGGAAATGTTCCAATTCCCTATAGAAGCCAGTGGCGTAGCCAGACCTTCATTTTTGGGAGCGAAACGAGTGCCGAAGGCGCGAGACCCTCTAGGGGAGTCCGGGGGCATGCACCCCCGGGAAAATTTTGAAATCTAGAGTCCCTGAAATGCAATTTCTAGCATTTTGGGGGTGAAATATTGCAGAATTCCGAAGATTATAAAGTGCATCGAAGACATAAATTTTCCCAGACATTTCTAATTTTCTACTCAGAATTAAATAAATTGGAAAAGTCACCTTGAAAAACAGTGATTCTGGGGGAAGAAAATCCCAATGTGATTTTGATCAGAAATGTTGCATTTAAATCATTTTAGGCCGGTTCTATATGAGACAGTATTTCCCATTCTTACAGAATAAGTTTGAGAAGAATATTCATGCTATGATAATGCATGCATGTAAATCTAAACTAAATCTATTCTTCTTGGAACCATATGTACAACTACTTTAACGTCGTTTTCCTCAGTCGAGACGTACTTAATCAGTTTCAGCTTTGAGGATGTAACGTGTACCCCTCCTCCCCAAAAAAAATTTCTCTACGGATTTAGCCTTTTTCAGAGAATGGCTTTTTTGCGATTGGGGGGGGGGGGCGCTTGCCCCCCCCTCCCTCGCCTCCCCCCCCCCTTGGCTACGCCACTGATAGAAGCCTTTAGGCACCTATAGAGATCTATCTATAGGCTAAAAGGCATCCCTATAGGTCACCTATAGAAAATGTTCCAATTGCCTATAAAAACCTATAGGTTTCCTATAGAAACCTATAGGTTGGCCTATAGGCCAGGCCTATAGACTTTTTTGTTAGGGCTAGCTACTTAAATATCCAATTTAAGCTACTTGCTACTGTTGCGAGGATTTTGAAAATCTTCCAAGAGTTTCAAATATCTAACCATGCCTGTGAAAACTTAAATTGCAGGCCTGTTGTTGACCTGCCCTGGTTTGTGTTGGCAAAATGTGCCAACCTGGTTTTTAAATAACTCCAAAGCATGCACAACCCTGGCAAGGTCATGCATGCTTTGGAGTTATTTACAAGTTACCCTGCAGAAACGGGAGAATATCTAAGCTAGGCACTGGGAAAGTAGTTGTCTTTAATTAATATTGATTAAGCTACATTCCTATTTTGATCTTTTTTATCACCATTTCATGGTACTATACCAAACTTTGTGAAACAGCAGGAAATTGACCTTTTTTAACCCAAATTGTACACATCTGGTAAGATGCAGTCCACCTGAGAAATCTTACCCAGAGAAATCTTACATTATCAGCTAGGTTCAGTCTTTATTCAGCCCATGTATATAGTCTGCACCAATATCTGTCCTTTTTTATTATATTCATGCATGGCAACTTAAATTATGAAAAAATTTAGTAGTACTTACAATTTAGTAGTACTTACAACTCTTCCCTCAAGTGGAGATAAGTTCTATGCAGTAAGTTGGACATTAAAAAGGACAAGCTAGGCCACATTTATCAATACTTATTCTAGGTAGTACAAGTATCGATTATTAGAGACAATCAGCGTTCAATATAACAGACAGCCATCATTCATCAACCAGTTTCTGTGACTGTGGAAATTAAATGCCAATGTGGCCGACTGACCATCTACTGAAGTTATGGCCAGTCATTTTGCCAAAGTAATTTGAATAATTTCTCCCTCGTTTTTGCCCAACCAAAACGCATTCTCTATCTAATCTGTTATACAAGCACAGGAAGTTAAAAAAATGGTACATGTAATTACTATTAATAAACTTGGATTTATCAATTGTTTACCAATTGAAGTTATTTTTATGCAACCTCGTAGACATAGTAATGTTGAGGTATACTGTAGCAATTGATCAAATGAATTGCCATATTATATTGAATTCATAGTCAAATTTTATATACAAAGTGAAATAATTTCAGTGGATGTAGCTAGTGTTATACAGTTTTTCTTTATTGAGTCCTTTAAAAATAATTAATGTCCGTTCATTTCCGTCCTAAACGTGTGCCTGGTCTGACCATTGAACTCGGGGGAATAATTATGTACTGCACGGTAAGTTTATTGAACTGATCAATACATACAGATACAGATATTTCGCAGTACACTCCCTATCAAGGCTTTTCAGTGACTGGTTACATTATGAATAGGTAGATAGAACTGGACTGACGTGGAGCAGACCGATGAAAACTTTGAGCTTATAAATGGCGCTTGAGCAGCCACTATTAGTCCATACTCCACTAATGATCTGCCACAGACCTATGTGCCTAACCCACCCTGTCAACTTTCCCTGTGAGAGGGAACACGGAGTACCCGGAGAAAACCCACGACTTTCGGCAGAGCGTTGAATTACTCTTTTCACATGAGGACTGGGTTCGAGTCACTGAGATTTGAACCTGCGGCCTTAGAGGTGAAAGGCAAGTGCGCTAACCACTTCGCCACCGAAGCCCCCTAGTGTCTTGTGAGTTAAAATGATTTATTTGCTACTGCCAGTATAATATGAATCATGTGAAATTCTGTTTTATAGCTATTATCCAACTGAAACAATTTGCCATTACTGTAATGGCGAACTATCTGATGCTAAACGTGTCACCTGTTCTGCCAAGCTTCTTACACTAAGAGGCTTGATTCAAGGTAAATATCTAAAACATGTACAGTACTTATACTTAATAATTTCACTGTCTATGTGTAGCTATAATGCGCTTTGATATATGCCACTCTGCACAATTTTCATTGTCAACAGAACTGTAACCAGACAACCTACCAAATTGCCTATTAAATGTTTATCCCTTGCACAAGCCACAGTGTGCACAACTTTGTTTTACTTGTTGCCGGAATGTCATTTATTATCCAATTTAGTCTATTGTGTCAATCCATATTTGGTTGTTAAAATTTCTGCTGTATGTTTTATTATTACTGTCATGCAGGTATTGAAGAATAATTTGTATGTAAAATGTATCTTCTTCATTGCTATGTGTTTTTCTTTAGATGTATCTCTGTATATTAAGTTTTGTACAGAATGTCAAATACCATATCGATATCAAGAATATCAAGATGGTGTCCATAATTTCAACGACAACTGGTTGTTAAGTTTGGGAGTCTGTGATATGATAAGGAAACATATTCAGGTAATTGATGAGACGTATATTTACGTTATCTTGTTCAATCTACAATATTCATATTCAGAATGACGACAAGTAATTGTGACTGATTGTCACTGACTTAGCGTTAGTTGTTTTGAATGATTAATTTCATTGGGTGAAATACAGCTGTCCACGGTTGCTGAATAGCCTTTACACAACTTTTTGTTATTAAAAATCCTTTCCATCGAAATAACGTACCGTATTCTTTACATATTGTACAGTTACTAACTACAGTACTGTAAGCGCAGTAACTGTACTGTATACAACTGTTGATGCAATTTTCACGACTGTGATTGTGTAAATTGCATGCACTAGCTGTGCAATACATTTTATCTAAAATCAGTTTATTCTATGATTTACCTAAGATCAGTTTTACCTAAAATGTTTTCATGTTTGGGTTATTCAGCTACACCGTGCTGACGAGCCCCAACCAGGGCGAAACAACTGTCCAACCCTGCAAAATGTTGTTATCTCTGTGGTCACGTATTGTATTGTGGCATACTCCTTAATAATAAGTATTAGTATTATTACATACTTAGATGATTATTGAAAATTCGCCACGCGATAATCACCTAAGCGATTTTCGAAATGGCGGCCGAAGCCGTTTTGTCAATTACGAAGAAATGTGTATTTTTTATTTTTTGCCAAATAATCACCTAAGAAATTATACTAAAACAATTATTCACCTCAGGCTCGGTGATTAACGCGAATAATTTATTCATCGATAATCACCTCGCCTGGCTTCGGCGAATAATTGTTAATTACATGTAATAAGATAAAGGTGGATTCAACAACATGCTGGCCACATATCAGGATATGTTCGTTCGTTCGCACCAGAGGCGCCGGAATATCGATTAAAGCGGGGGCAGATATTCATATATTCGTGTTCACAGACTGTAAAAACAATCGATTTCAAAAGAAATTAATTGGGCAGAACACAAATATATGAATACCTGCCCAATTATCGATATTCCGGCGCCTCTGGTTCGCACTTCTTGTTCCCGGCTTGTTGACACGTTATCAACGCTTTGTTGACTGACGACTTGCTACACCGTTGTTGAACTCAACAGACTTGTTGTTACTCCGGTAAAGAAGTAGTAATTTAAGCCACAGTATTATTTTGATATGAATTTAACCTATAAGCTATACATTACATATTTCGAACTACAATACGGTAAGTATATTTGATAAGCTAAACTATATGACTTGTTTAGGAAGCTCCCATTGTTTCCCTTATTGCACACGTAACATACCTACAGCCAATTCTGTTTCAACAACATGTTATCAGGATGTGTTCGCACTGCTTATTCCCAGCTTATTGACAAGTTGTCAACGGCTTGTAGACTGACAACTTGCTACAACGTTGTTGAACTCAACAGACTTGTTACAAATTGTGCAACAACTTGTTATCGTCCTGCAATAGACGATTCCCCTTATTACGTTTTCGTGGCGCTTTGCATTGTGGTTTAGTGGTATCACTGATATTCAAGATGGCTTATTTTTTGTCCTGACCCGTGCAAGAACTTTTAAAAAAGCTAGGGTCAGGTGCACGACATCCAACAGCAAAATATTCGCGAAAACATTGAATATTTTTATTCCAGGCCGCTATCTTTATCAGTGATACCACTATAACCACAATGCAAAGCGCTACGAAAACGTAATAAGGGGAATCGTCTATTCAACAACTTAATTGTTAACATATTGTGCCGAGTAACAACCTTGTTAGCAACTTGAGAAAATGACAATTTGTTGCAACTTGTTGACAAGCTTTCTATACAATCGTGTTGCGATCACATCTTGTTGACAAGTTGTGACATTTTTATGTGTGTAGTTCCAATACACAATAGCTGACTCTTTATTTTTCCTGGTAATTTATCATTGTTCACATCAGGTCCACAACGCTGTAAGTCGGACAGTTGAAGCATTGGAAAATTGGTTGCAGCTAAAGTCATTCCAGCTGCCACGTGGTCACGTATTAAATGCATATCTACATTTTGAAGCTTTGACTGATCATTCATACTCTTTTCACTGCATCTTATGTGGTTACTTTCCCCCACTGCTGAACTTGGATGTAGACAAAAAAGGCGTGTTTGAACTATCAGGTTAGAACGACATTCGTCTTGTAGGACTATATGCACTCTTTCAGTAAGTTTATACAGTTACAGACAGACAGACTATACAGTGTATATATTTATGTGTGCCACAACTACAACTGAATGTTATATTGGTGTATGGATACTGTAAGATTTATTTGACTTTGTTTAAACGTCTATGAATTCATAAAAATATGAATAATCTAGCTTGTTCCAATATATTGATGATTAATTTTGATTGCTATCTTTGTTTTTGGTATAGTGAGTGAGCTTGAATTACCCAAGGAAACTGACGAAAGTGTTGAAAATGTGAATTCTGAGGCGTTCTGGAACCAATGTAACCTTGGTATCCTACATCGAGGCATCTTGAGAGGTAATACTAATTGATTTATAATTTTTAAATGTCCAATATAGCTACTGCACGTACTCAAATTGATGCGCAATTTATATATTTGAAACGAATGCGACCAATGGGTGTAAAATTATTTATTTTTTGATACACCGTATAGGTTCAGACCCAAATATGTTGCAAATTCAACCAAGTTATACCTTTTGGTCGCCCTATATTGGTCCAAAATGCAAGAAAAGCAAGCTGCTCGTCAACTCAGAGTTTCAAAAGGCAAACCACAAAGCTAATGTTACTTCAAATGGGACGCTCCAAAATGATCTTTCGATTGAAAAAATCATGGATTTATTTTGTGAGAGCCAGGTAACATGCAGACATTACGATAACATTACAAATATCTTTCAAGGGTGCAATTTTATTTCAAAAGACAGTATGATCGCAGAAACGTTTATAGTGTATAAGCGAGCTAGCTGCCGCGATCTCAGTACTACGCGAGCTTGCTAACGTACTGATTTCGCCAGTTTCAACCTCTCCGTATTTGCAATAAAACTCCGACCAGATCAAAATATCAGTTTAATAATACTGCCAATCGCACACCGCTATTTTGTAGTTATAAATGGTAGTTTCGCACTAACTGCATGTAGTTAACTTTAACTACCTTTCAATACAAGTGCATGGTCCGAGACTGAAATGAGTGTTTTTTGTTCCCACATAACATAAAAATAGTTCCAAACACTCATTAATAATTTGTAAGCTTATTGGCAAATCATGCATGTCAACCATAATATGTCACTATGCAGTGGCTTTAAACCTGATAAAACACTCCTAATTAGTATTCTTTATATAAAGAATACTAATAAGGCAGTATCTATATTGAATTTGTAGTCGTGTTTGAAGCCGTTTAATAAACTCGCAGGTCGTGTTTTATTACGTCTAAAGCCACTCGCGCTGCGCGCTCGCGGTTTTAAACCTAATAAAACACTCCCGCTCGCTTATTAAACAGTACGTTAACATCGGCACTGCATGTATATCGGTATCTACACAGCTGCAATGATTGCATCATTTTGGTGTTGTAGGAACACCCAGAATTTTAGAGTGCTCATATATCTATATTTTTGTTTCAAAATAGGCTTCAGTTTTAAGGGAAATCGCCAGAAACTTAAACCTTAGTGACAAAGGCCCAAAGGTGGATATTTTGAATCGACTGAAAGGTGCTTTGAACATTGAGGAAAAGTTTGTTAAGCTTTTCTCTAAAATGTGGGGAGGTTCAGGTCAGTAAAAACTGTATAGATTGTAAAATTATCTTTGACGAGTAGTTTGGTGCATGGCCAATGCACAGTATTTGACGGAATAAAATTGACTCATTTTCTTTTTTAGTTTTAGTATTTCCTGCAAAGGAAATTGAGCGTTGTATTTTTACTCAAACAAGAAAGAAATTCAGTTTTAAATTTAGTGAATAATTAATTTTTTAACTATAGTGCATGATTGTGTTTATAACGCTAAATTTAAGCCGTATAGCCACGTGGCTTTAGATAAATGGAAAGTATCCTGCCGGGGAACAAATGATAAAGTATACAAATGGCCAAAAGTTTCGAAATAACGTTTTTCCATTTATTCAAAAGAAAACAGTAATACTATGAATTAGGGAAGAAAATACACGACAGGCAACAACCTACACAATGAAACACTTATCAGTGTCTGTTTCTTCGGGAAAGGTTTAATGTATGTTTGTTGTCATTGGAATCTCAGTTTCATTCGATTTAATTTCGGGAAACCTTGAAACTCTCTGAAAACAAACCGTTTCGCTCGGGAGTAGATATTGAGTAATTTAGGCTACGTTTGTACTTGTACCATATATAGCTTTCCATACCGACCTGAAAAACACCTATCCGCCTACCTTTTAGGAACGCTACTTTCAGAGGAATTATGACAAAGGAGAGATGTTGTTTCGCTCAGCAAATTCTGAACGTTGTACATTCCGTTTCGGATAGTTGCTTTTTCTCGCCGCTATGGAAAGCTATCCGTCATAGTGTAAACGAATCTCAATACTGAGGGACTGTCAAAGAATTTCAATACAGAGGGACTGGTCATTTTGTGCATGGAAAAATGGGGGATGGTCCAAACATTATTCACCCTATTTTGTTCCAAATTTGTAACGTTTTTGTCCGCAACTAGTAAATTTGATTGCATTTCCGGCGTTACCAGAGACCTCAGATTTCAGCTTCTGTTAGCCCCTTAATCCAAAGTTTGTCCACGATTCCTGTCGCTTCGTATGTACTTAAAATAAGGCATGCATCTTTAGTTATTTATTTATTTATTTATTTATTTATTTATTTAGTTATCAATTTATTTATTTATTTATTTATTTATTTATTTATTTAGCTTTGCCAACTAGGGCAGGGTCACCACAACAGCATATGCCAATTGCTGTGGGCCCTTTTACCTAAACCACCTTATCAACTTTAATTTCCCTGTGGGAGGAAGCCGGAGTACCCGGAGAAAACCCACGACTTTCGGCAGAGCGTTGACTTTATTCTTTTCCCATGAGGACTGGGTTCGAGTCGCATTGGGAAAGTTCTCACTGAGGCTTGAATCTGCGACCTAAAGCCGGTTTTCCACTAGCGAAATTTGTCGCGCGAACGTTTTGTCTTATAAGCTCTCGGCTGGAACTAATTAGATTTTTAATAAATTCTTTTCAATTTTAACAATAAAAATTCGCTTCGCGCGAAGAAATTCGCTAGTGGAAAACAGGCTTTAGAGGTGAAACAAAATTTGAACATCTCATTTCTAATTTTCATCAACCAACCCTCCTTCATGTCCAGGATCATATATGAATCTGTGTTATCTTAAACGAAAAATGTAATTATACCTACATAGGTGGATGGCTTGGCATGACGTGCCCTCATGGTATCTGTTATGGATTAAAATGGCTCTTACGTCAAGAGGGTCCGAGAGATCATGTCGATATGTTAAAGAGTCTTGCGGTTCTTCCGAATGTCATCGTCTGCGATATTGCAAACATGATCGTCGCACATGGAAGGAACCGGGGGCTTGATGTGTTTGGTCCAAAAGAAGGTCGTGTTGCTGAGGCTACAGATGAAAACATCCGACAAGCTGAAAATGGCGAGTTACGTGTTGACTGGCCTTGGTATCCAAGTGGTGTTCATGGACGAATTCCTGAAGATTTTCGACGTCCCGATGATGAGCAATCCTTGCATAACCCAGTCACAGGATCTTGCGAACACTTTAGTTTATTTGATCCTTTCCATGAAAAAAATACTGTTAACCCAGCTGATTCATTGCGTCGTGTTTCTTGTGTTAGACAACTTGCCGGCAAGATGAATCTGGAAACGGCCGAACAACTTAACAACCGACGAAATAGAGATAACTATTTCACCACTTCGCTGATAGCTCACAATGCTATATTTGTTGAAAGGCTGGTTGCTCATTTTACAAACCAGAAGCTCAACAATAAGGTGTACAATTGTCATATCCGTCAGGTACCACAAGTTATATGTTATGCAGATACGTTTTCCACATTATATTTTTTATTTATATTTATTTAGGGGACAATTGCTATGTGTACTGATTTTTTAATTAATATGGGAATTTGCTTTGAAATATTTGGTAATATAACTTTGGTAATAATAATGGCAACTTTATTTATTGATTATTATTAATAATAATAATTTGCCAACCATGTTCAACTAATGCAAGGCTTTGTTTACTTTAGTTTGGAAAAAACCTGCAACTTAACCAATTTGGCCAAATTGTGGTCACACAATTTAACGAAGCAGAAGAGCCACCAACAAAAGTACGACGATTTGAGCAAAACTTTGAGAAGGAATCCTCCCACTCAACCTGCCCTGAAGACGACACTCGCTTTAATCACGAAAGCATTGAAAATACCACATATCCAAACCATAACATTTCCGCTAACAGTCGCATTAACCTGAACCATCAGTCCAGCGCTAACATAAACTCCAACCAACAATCCACCACTAACCTAAATTGCCCAAACCACCAGTCTAATATTAACCCCATTTCCATCAACCAGTCCACCACTAACCTAAACCCAACCCAGCAATCAACCACTAACACTAGCCGAACTCATCAGCCCACCATTAGCCTAAACCCAAACCACCAATCCACCAGTAACCCTAGCCTAGCCCAACAGGCAACCACTAACCTAAACCCAACCCACCAGTTAACCGCTGACCCTAGCCGAATCCAACATCCGACCATTAGCCTAAACCCAGCCCACCAATCCACCACTAACCCTAGCCGAATCCAACAGGTGACCATTAGCCTAAACCCAACCCACCAATCCACCAGTAGCCCTAGCCGAACACAGCGGGCAACCACTAACCTAAACCTAACCCGCCAGTCAACCACCCACTCGAAACGAACCCAACAGCCAACCAATAACCCAAACGGCCCCCAACAATCAACCACTAACCCTAGCCCTAGCCCTAGCCAAACCCATATTTCTCCCCCAAACCCCTTCCATTTGTCCAGCGCTAATCTAAACGAAAAACAACAGCTCAGCACTAACCCTGACCAACTTACATCTCGTCCTGTGGTAGAAGGTTGTACAAGAGAAAATATACAGTTTCTGTGCGTCTCAAACTCATCTGTCCGCTGTTGGATTTTTCCTGTGGCAACAGCACTAAACAAAATTGATAATCGACAAAAAAGGGGAAACTTTTCTTGCACCATTATTTCTCTTGTTTTAGGAAAAGCCCTACTAAAGTTATCTATAGTGTGTCCCGATGATGGTTTTCTATCTGAGCTGTGGTATGGCTTGGTTATCAATTGCATACGTCTTGGAAATCAGATATACGACTCCTCACCTGAAGGCGCCCGCAACCTGTCGCCGACTGAAGCTGCTTCTACATTAAGAGATGTGTCACCGGTTAACCTGGATGCAGCACTTACTGTTCGACTTAAGGATTCGAATAGTGCCTCCCGACTTAGCTTTCAGATCAATCAACTGTTAAACGGGCAGGATGCTACTGCATTACTTGTATACAGCCAAAGAACTGTACTGCTGTACAGTAATAAGGATGGTAAAATCATGCTTATCGACAACCACCAGCATGGTGAGAAAATGGGCCCTGTGATCGTTAAAGGATTATGTAGTCATTTGCCTCAATTTCTAAACAGTATCCAGGAGGTACTCAGCATGAACGACACTTCATATGCAGAACTAATAGTTTTCTCTTAACGTACTTCATATTGTTATGATATTCCGGTGGACCATGGGAGCATATTTCGAATCAATTCTTCCGAATTACGGTCGCATGGCCAGTATCCTGAAAACGATAATCTATACCAGGGCCGCCGAGAGGTTGGCGGGGGCCCGGGGCAAATTTTTCTTTAGGGGCCCCTATTTCAAAAAATTTTATCGGAGAACAACCCGCCCCCCCCCCCCGGCGAAAACTTTTTAGGGAAAAAATTTCCCCGGATGAATACGTTACAACTGCTTTCCAGCGCCTTAACCTCGTTTTTCATACCAAATTTGGGTATTTTGCCCAAAAAAACAATTATCTTGCCCTTTGCGCGAAAATATTTCACCCCAAAAAATGACTGGGACCAACAAAAATTTTCTAGGGGCCCTCAGAACCTGGGGGCTCGGGCCAATTTGCCCCCTCCCCCTCTCGGCGGCCCTGATCTATACTAAACGTTCCTGTTCATAAAGTAAATTAGTCATATAAGTTTCTAAATATAGAGCGAAGTCGGAAATTACCTTAAGACGGCCTTACATACGCAGAATGGCAGTGCATACGCATTATGTTACTTTTATCCAAAACTAACATCCATTTTTGCATGAATTAACATTTTAACAATCGCAAAAAATCTGCTGATCGATGATCCAGCTGGCAAAAAGGCATAGCATTTAATTTATATCATCTCTACGTATTTCGTGGAATTCTCTATTTACCGTGCTTCTCAAATCATGACATGCGAATAGCCCAAATGTAAATAAGCGAGGTGGTTTCTATTTTCTAAACCAATTATAAGTATAGTCATATCTGTATATGTTACTTTTTGTTATTCAGTCAAACTGACGGGGGGTTTTAATGAATTAGCCACGTTCTTATCTGGTAATTACAGAGAAAGGTCATATTAAATATTCATCAGGCAAATTGTGCATGATAAAATTCACCCTGCCTATACTCTGCCTATTAGCCCTCCCAGAAGAAGTATGAGTCACATCATTAACATTTAATTAACACGAGATTTTATTTAAAAACTTCTAATCAATCCACTATTTCAAATAAAATTTTACGCTAATTCGCAATTTCAAAACATTTGACCCAAACGTCATGCCAAAGTTAAAATGCATATGAAGTTAAGGTTCGAAACGCAATGGGTTCCCAAACCAACAGATAATTTCGTACGTCAAACTTTTGATTTTGCATTGCGAATTGGATAATTCAATTGAAGGAATGAAGATACATTTTACTTGCGTTTCCATAACATTGTGAATTGACCTAGTAGTATACTCTTCCTCTAAATTCCATTTATTTTGGCTGCCTAGGAATCGATTTATCTGAAATATTCATGTATATGTATTTTAGTCAACTTTAAGTTATGGTCAAAATATCAAAGCTGTGAATGGGTTCTATAACAATGTCCCGAAATCACTGATTTCTCTATATACCGTATAGTATATATAAGCCAAACATCTCCGACTAATCAAATTTCGAACGACATGGAAGATTTGGTCCTATTTATCTGAAATATTGATATATACCTAGTCTAATATGTATTTTAGTCAACTTTAAGTTATGGTCAAAATATCAAAGCTGTGAATGGGTTCTATAACAATGTCCCGAAATCACTGATTTCTCTATATACCGTATAGTATATATAAGCCAAACATCTCCGACTAATCAAATTTCGAACGACATGGAAGATTTGGTCCTATTTATCTGAAATATTGATATATACCTAGTCTACTCAACTGTAAATCATGGTCAAAATATCACAGCTGTGCATGGGTTCGATGTAACAATGTCCCGATATCACTGACCTCTCTATATACCGTATAGTATATGTAAGCCATGTTCTCCGACTCATCAAATTTCGAACGACATGGACGATTTTGTCCCATTTATCTGAAATTTGATATATACCTAGTCTACTCAACTGTAAATCAGTCAAAATATCACAGCTGTGCATGGGCTCTATAACAATGCCCCGAAATCACTGACCTCTCTATATACCGCATAGTATATATTAGCCATGTTCCCGACTAATCAAATTTCGTACGACATATAAAATTTTGTTGGTTTTATCTGAAATATCGATATATATCTAGTCTACTCAACTGTAAATCACGGTCAACATGTCAAAGCTGCGCATGGGTTCTATGACAATGTCCCGAAATCACTGACCTCTCTATATACCGTATAGTATATATCAGCCATGTTCTCCACTCATCAAATTTTGAACGACATGCAATGGAAGATTTTGTCCCATTTATCTGAAATATTGATATATACCTAGTCTACTCAACTGTAAATCATGGTCAAAATATCACAGCTGTGCATGGGTTCTATAACGATGTCCCGAAATCACTGACCTCTCTATATACCGTATAGTATATATAAGCCATGTTCTCCGACTCATCAATTTTCGAACGACATGGAAGATTTTGTCCCATTTATCTGAAATATTGATGTATACCTAGTCTACTCAACTGTAAATCATGGTCAAAATATCACAGCTGTGCATGGGTTCTATAACGATGTCCCGAAATCACTGACCTCTCTATATACCGTATAGTATATATAAGCCATGTTCTCCGACTCATCAATTTTCGAACGACATGGAAGATTTTGTCCCATTTATCTGAAATATTGATGTATACCTAGTCTACTCAACTGTAAATCATGGTCAAAATATCACAGCTGTGCATGGGTTCTATAACGATGTCCCGAAATCACTGATCTCTCTATATACCGTATAGTATACCCACCGGGAAGACGACGTTGTTTCAACGTTGAAATGTGGTAGAAAAAAGGTTGCGACGTCGACAACCTAATATCTACGTTGCTCTGACGTTGTTTTACAAACATTGGTTCAACGGCAGCCAACAGACGTTGAATTAACGTTCAATCATGGTTAAATGTACGACGTCGATTTGTGAACCAATCTCAACGTTGTTTTAACGTGGATTCAACGTTGAATTATGGTTGACGAGATTGGCAACCTAATTTCAACGTTGTTTCAACGTCGAAACAGTAACGTCGATCCAATTTGCATAGTCAACCCTTTTTCAACGTGTATCCAACGTCTGGAAGGTCATTTCCAACGTCGATTCAACGTTGGATAAACGTCATTTTGCCCGCTGGGTATATAAGCCATGTTCTCCGACTCATCAAATTTCGAACGACATGGAAGATTTTGTCCCATTTATCTGAAATATTGATATATACCTAGTCTACTCAAGTGTAAATTATGGTCAAAATATCACAGCTGTGCATGGGTTCTATAACGATGTCCCGAAATCACTGACCTCTCTATATACCGCATAGTGGATAAACGTCATTTTGCCCGCTGGGTATATAAGCCATGTTCTCCGACTAATCAAATTTCGAACGACATGGAAGATTTTGTCCCATTTATCTGAAATATTGATATATACCTAGTCTACTCAAGTGTAAATTATGGTCAAAATATCACAGCAGAGGTATACATGAGTTTAATATCCACCACGTCATCAACCCTCCCACTGCCTATGGCGTGCCACAGAGCACTACTCTATCACCTAGTCTGTTTGGCATTTATAGAAATACGGTCACACTGTCAGACTACATCGATTCCTATGTCGATGATTCGAAACTTTATTTGTCATTCACTGTTAAAGATTAATTTAGATGAAAGAGTTGTCAAGTTGGAGGAGGACCTTAATATTGGTGTTCTTAGTTCGGACAAAAGGAAATTTTTCTTCATGGCCGATTCGCGACCTATGATGCAGAATTTACCTTTCGCTACAAACATAATCTATCTATTTTTTTTGAAAAAAAAAACTGTGAGCCCCGTTGCGTCCGCTGAAGATTTGGGTATCATGTTTGACTCAAATTTATCGTATAACGAAGCCATTTCCAACCTTGTCTCGATGATCATTGGTGACTGACTGTGACGGCTAACTGACCAAGTGAAGGGCAGCTTTACAACTTTACAACTAAAGACTTGGTTCAAGTCCGTCTCTTAAGGGGTTGAAAATAGCGATGCACGAAAAAGGCCTCTAAAAAGGCGCAAAAATATGAGAGAAAAGTAGGGAGAGACGAACTTGGATACCCTGCAAGCGCGCCAAAAGTTACCGTCGGATTTTTCCTACGGAGACGTGGTTTGCCAGTTGAGAAGAACAACAAATTTTTGCGCCAATTTTTGCAAGTAACATTTGCAATGCTGCGAATGTCCCAAGTCCGTCTCTCCCTACTTTTCTCCTGAGACGGACTTGAGCCAAGTCTAAAGTAATAGTCGAGTAGGCAGTAGTAGTTAACAAATTATTATATGGCTCCATGATGTGGTGTAAATATACATCAGCTAAGAACATATAAAGAAATTACCAACAGGACAACAGAACTTTTCCGCGCGGACTATCGCAAAAATTAGACCAAGTTTACAACACCTCGAATGGCTTCCCATGGAACTGTTAGTCCTGTATAGAGATACTGTAATGGAATATTAATGACACTGGCACACAAGTGTTTTAACAATCTTGCACCCAGTTATCTAACTAATAAGTTTCACTATAAACGTTCTGACATTCATAACTTTCCTACTAGAAACCACATTACAACAATTGTCTAGTTATACCATCTTCCAGAACCTCTTCAGGGCAAATTAAAAAGGGCATTCCACTGCAGAGCTGTGAAAATATGACTTGGACGACGAGTTTAAGCAGATCACAACACTTAACAAATTTAAAAAGAAACTAAAGGAGATATTATTAAGAATCTTTCCTCATAGTAATTTTAATTTTTTGATATATAGTATGATATATTTACTTATTAAACCTAGATCATGATGTCCCGAAAGCACTGACCTCTCTTTATAGTCTATATAAGGCATGCTTTTCGAATACTCATATTTTCTACGACGCAGAAGATTTTGTCAGATTTATCTTAAATATTGGTATTTATTATATAGTAGAGAGTGAGTCCTCTATATATCTAGTCTGGTCACTGTAAATCATGGTCAAAAAATGAGAGTTGTACCTGGATTGTATTACTGTGTCCCAAAATCTTTGAACTCTCTATATATAAGGGATGCAAGTTGAACGTTTAATTTTTGTACAATTACCCGGAAATTTTTTTAGGTTCAATTGAAATATTGTTGTACACTGTATCCAGTCTCGGATTCTATATAATATGTGGAAAAACAGTGAATATAAAACTTGTATTTAAAATATACTGTAGTTCCCTAAGCTGACCAAAATTAAAATAATAAAAATACAGATTGGGTACGGTGTGAATAAAAATACGGATTGGATATGGTTTCGGATGAACATTAACTACTCTCTATAATGTACGAGTATTCAGTATTTTAATTTCAGATATTATTGTTTGAAATTTTGCACCCTTCCACTTCTTCGCTGCTTAGCATATACTTAGGAAACAATCAAACAAATAAAAATGTTTAAGCTAGGTTAACTTTTATGTTTGGTCTATCCTTTGACATGTGAATTATTGAATACTGTTCATCACACAGGAGTTGCACCTGTACCTTTTGTAAAAGGAAACTGCTTGATGATTATTAGTATCAAACACATGCACACAGATGGGTATTGGAACTAATAACGGAAATCAAATCTTGAATTAATGTTTTCAAAGTAACAGTTTATTAATTTAATGTTATAAGCTATATGATCATAATTTTAACTCAGTTATGTATGGCATTAATGTAATTTTAATTAAAAGTACCAGAATTCAGGATGGTATTAAATCAGTTATAACACCATTAATTTAACCCATTGAGTCGCATTGCACCCTGATGCGCCCTACCTTATTATTTCACTCTGTCTAATGCCAGACAATTTTACTTGTCAAGAGGAGAGCGCTGGCACTTAATGGGTTAATCATTGCATAGTTATAGCCTCTTTCCTCGAACCAATCAAATGTGACCATTAACCCATTGAGTGCCAGGGCTCTCCCCTTAATTGAAAAGTAAAATCATCTGGCATACAGTAAGGACAGAGTTTGGACAGAGTAAAATAATAGAGTGGGGTACATTGGGGCACAATGCAATTGATGGATTAATACTGCAATTTACCTGAGAATCTCCTCTGAATCTTCTGGCAACAGAGGGTTACATACCATTACTATATAATTTACATAATTACTCTTGCAATGTCTACAAAATAAAATTGTTTATTGCATTTTCCATGTGTACAGAGCATGAATGACAGTATATCTGCTGTTAACCTGTACAATGGCCGGAAATTAGTTTGACACTATAATCAAATTCCAAAAATGTTTAAAAATGAGTATCATGACACTTGGCTAAAACATCAGTTCAATTTTAGCAGTAGTGATGGGCGATACTAGAATTTTTAATTCGATACCGATACTTTTAAGATCGGTATTGGTCGATACCGATACCTATTTCGGTACCAAAATATAAAACACAAAATTTCAATTTTCGATACCGGAAGTGAGTACTTAAATTGCCAGTATCAGCTACTTTCGATACCTACCATTCAGTGGAAAAACATTTTACATTACTGTATGTAACCTAAATAAAGCTATAAGAAAACCAAAAGCCCGAAACGTAATAAATATATTCTATACATGACTTGGCGCACCACATTTTGAATATTAAGAGTTATTTTAGTGGTTCATTTTAAAAGTCTTATTCAACCAAGAACTAAAATTAAACAAGTCGTCTTAAAAAGGGTGCAAGTATCGAACGATACCACGTCAGTAATCGATACCGATACCACTGTTTGTGGTATCGCTGGTATCGAATACTGAGTACTCGGTATTGCCCATCACTATTTAGCAGGGATGCTGCCAGGGGTGGAAAAATATATAAGTAAATTGACACTCAGAAACTGTAAAGTTCTGTGTGATGCTGTCAAACTGAATGCAATATGTTAATATTTTAACAAAAAATATTTCCTTGCACTCAGAATCTACTTTTAGGAATTAATATAACATAAAACTAATTTAGATAACATGCATTAATTTAAGGGTCTGATCCTAAGGTAAATAAGGATGATAAAAAGGCACTACTAGGAGGCACTAGACGAGGGGGATCCATGCTTTTGTCCAAATGGCTGTATTGTATGTGATTAGACATAATACAAATATATATATTAAAGACAGTATTAATCAAATTACATGATAATTATTATACATACATTTACAAGAAGACATTTACATGAATTGCAAAATGAAAACATTGTTATGTAAATAAACAGTCTGATTGTTTGTATTAGAAAGGTGTTCCATGTATATTGGCTTTTTCAAAAAAAAACTATTCATGCAGGCATTTTAATAGGAAATAATATGAAAATGCTCATATAGCCTATTTTATAGAGAGGTGTTGTCTGTTGACGAGAACCTAAACCTTGACTGTATAAAATCCAATCAATATACAGTACATGTGGGGGCTTGTAATAAACTTTTACCTCCGAAAAAGGCTTGCTATATATTTAATATAGAGAAAGACCCTCGGTCCGACTATAATCTATATTCTATATTAATTAACGGAGGGACTATATTTGAGATGGATTTAGTACAAATATCTACTAATCTAGTGCACACTTTCACTTCCATGTCTTCAATCAGTTCAAAGGTTCGATCAACAAAAGGCATAGGCAGATTGTCCATTGTTGTGCAATGTTATTAATAAAAGTACATAAAATCATGGGAGAAACTGCACATGTTCGTACCAATCAACTGAAAGATTCTATTTCTACCAATTTGATAAATGTTAAAATAATTTTACAAAGAAATCGATTGGTGTGATTTATAAAGTCTATAAACGCACCTTTAAATGTTTGCATATTTCTGCCATTCTTGACCGTCACTAGAACTTTGCTCCAACAGGTGATCTTTACATGTAGCTCAACTAATACATTTGATTTCGTCTATATGGCCTTGTGCCGCCATATTTTCTACACATCATACCCAGTGATTAAACCCCAATTGTGTCGTAACAATATGCCGTCTATTTGCTCGTTATTACACTCTATTTGTTCCTCAATGCCATGTATTTGCTTGTCTATATTTTGTTACATATAAGGTATGGTATTCCATATATGGTCAACGTACGAGATATACAAATGACTCAATCAGTCTCGAACAACGGTAAAGTAGACATACTTTTAATTAGCCGACCATAACTTCGGCTCCTTTGGACATATCTTTTTCGTAATAGTCTTATTCGAACCGGAATCCAAAACACTATTTAGAGTCATATTTTCAAGCTTGTGTCTTCAGATTTGCATCTTTTATTTCGCCGCAAAACCGAAATACAATTGCAAATTGAATCATCAAAACAAAGCAAATCATCGTCAGACGTCAGTCTTTATTAGCTTCGGACAGTTAGGCTTGCCGAGCCCCACCAGCCCCGGCAACGAAAAAAATTGCCTCTCGTAATCCTCTGTTCTACAATGATCCGCGCATATAGTCGAAGTCTTTGACGGCACAAACAAACGCTTTGCGCATACAAAATCAACCCTTACTTTTCTTTGTCTTTTAGCTTCGCGTGTTCGTCATTGAAGTATGGAATATTGTGTAGACTTATATATTCCATCTTTTAAACATGCTTTATTGGTACAGTTAGCTGCAACATAGTAAAAAGGCATATCTTTTTCGATCACAAATCTACCTATATATCCGCCAAGAGTTAATACAGTACTAGTATAGTCGAATAATAGAATATACGCCGACTCACTTGCGTGACGTAACAAAAATCGCTCGTTCCAGTTTCCTTCGAACACGGACGCCTGCCAACCAAAAGCCCAAATTTTGCGTGTTCAAACGGCTCTAAAATTTTTTCGTTTTGATGAAATCGAAAAATTCTTTCGCTAGAACACTTTACTAAATGAGTACTTTCAATAGACTGAAAAAAGTTTTGTGTCAGGGGCACTTTGACATTGTTGTATTAAATTTTTTATCTGATTCGACGTGAAATACAACGTATAAAAGCTGTCGTCTTCTTTTGTATTAAATACTGAACGTTCTATATGACACAAAAACGATATGAAATACTTTAGTTAAACTAAAAGTACTGGCTAGTACCTTTAATTTTCTGAATAGCTGAATATGGAGTTATATAACATTTGAAATGCTTGAACTTTGGCCTTTGGATCTCCTGGGCCAGAGGAAAGAATATTGTATTGCGGAATTATTTTGCGGAAGAAAAAACAAGGTAAAACGTGCCGAATATTTGGGTATTTGGAATATTTGAAATACACACAAGATTTAGGATATGAAATGTTTAATCTATTATTCACAACAACATTTGCTCTTGATGAGTAAAAGGTCATAAAATAGTCTGAAGAAGCTTTCGTTGGTAGGGATGAAACTACCTGAAAAATGAACACATTGGTCCGACCCATTCGTGAAATTGTCCTACGTAGTGAGGAAGCCACCGGACATTCTGTCTGACATAAGTGAAACTGGGGTTTACTGTTTGTCCGACCCGAGTGTATTGGTGTCTGACCGAACTGTAGCTTTGTCCAACGTAAATCAATCCGCAGTAAGGCTGGTATGGTAAATGGAAAAGAAAGGACAATTGAGTATTGTATAAAAAGTAAACTGCATGGAAATGTTGTTTCAACGTAGGTTGATCGAGCGCGGGGCGGCGACGTGCTAGCGAAATGGTGAAGGGGAAAACGGGCTTAAGTTGTCGAAGTCTTACTGCTGTTCTTGCAAGCAAGTTAATTTTGGCTTGGAAATAAGTATGAATGACACAAATTATTTAATATCTTCACAACATTTACCGTTTAGAATTAATACATTGTGCTGATATTCATTTGTGTCATTCAGACTTTAATTTCCGAGTCAAACTGAACTGAAGGTCATCGGACATATGTCCGACCCAAACTCAACGTCATCGGACATTTTGTCAGACGGCCCTGTAAAACTGGATATTTTAAGGCCTGGTATAGTGACAAAGTGATAGCCGGAGACTGAATTTGTTGAAACGGCTGTAGCGAAATAAAAATCGTCCAGGTTTAAGCACAAATGCTAAAACCTGGACGATGGACGTCCATCGTCCAGTCCATCGTCCATCGTCCAGTCCATGGTCCAGGTTTTAGCACATGCCGTTGAAGATAATAAAGTAGGTCTTGTGAAGGTGTATATTGCCGCTCAAGGGTTAAACAGTTTTAATAAAATACACTTCAACACTCTCCTGTGATATGTATTAGACTGAGCAAAATAATTCAGTTTTATTGAGTTTCTCATTCAATTCATTGGTGAGCAGATTTCCTAACCTTATCCGAGAAGACACATAAGTTATAACCATGCACTTCAACTTTGTTAATTATAGCCAAAATTTCCAATATTTTAATTTCAAACATGATGAAGTTGAAAACAATTGCTTGATTATTGTTTGGTTTTTCTGTAGGTTGGAATTATTTTGGTGTCATGTGCTATGTGTAGTAGTATACAGTGTGATCTGGCACAGGAATATCAACTTGTACAAAATAAGACGTCCAGAGAGATTTTGAAGTGTTCTAAATGTAGGCCTTGTAAACCTGGATCTGAACCAGAACCACCGTGTGGTTCAGTTGTTGGTGTTACAGATTTAATTGGAATTTGCAACCCCTGCAAAGATGGTTTCTACTCGGCAAATGAAGACATGCTCCAATGTCAACGGTGTCAAAGTGCGACATGTTTCACACATCAGATAGTTGTGGAGATATGTAAGAAAGATGAACCCGATACTTCGCGTTGCACTAGTTGTCAAAAAGGCTATGTTATGAACAGCAATGCAACTGCATGCGTGGTGGACAAACAGCAGACGACAACCGGCCTGTCAACTGTTACAACAAAGGGTCCAACTCTGTCAAATAAAACTGATGGAGAAACTGGGTTGTCAGTTGCAAAAACTGGGTTGTCAGTTGCAGAAATCATTCTCATTGTCATTTGTTCATTACTCATTGTAACGTTACCATTTGTTGGCCTATGTTGCCACTTAAAGCATAGAAACACAAGTCACACTCAGAGAGGTAATTTATCCAATGCTCGAAACGTCAAGTTTCTGCTTGTTTATTTCAGGTAGTAATATAACCACTCAGCACAGCATTTTGTTGAAATATATTTACATGTTGAAACTATACATTTACATGTACATGTCACTATAATCCTATGTTTACCATGTTCGAATTAAAGTTGTAAAATATTCCTAATACAATTTCCTAAAACTTACTGGGCTGACCTAAATAACAAGCTCTGCTCAGTCCTGATTCAAACTGTTATAATATTACCCTGACCCTGTTCAAACCATTCCAAAATAGTCCAATTTTGTATGAAAGTTTTGAATATAAAGCCAAAGTATGTTAGCTGTAGCATGAGCATCATAAATGTCACTCTAAAAGAAATACTAAGAATCATATATAAATATTCATCTTAGGTAAAGATGAGGAAAACAGTTCAGCAAATATTAGTACAATTACATTATCGAATGGAACCAAGGATAAAGGAAATGAAACAATTATACCCCTGCAAGGTAATTACGTATTGATTTATGTGTACCCTTTAGATTAGCTTTGTGTTCTTCCAGTTCAATTACGACACGTTTATTTTTGCACAAATGTAGAAGAAGATCAGCGCAATGGTTTATCTACATCAGATGGACCCCATGTCACTGAACCAACAGCAAAATTTGGTATCTTCATCAACTGTCCTGTTCTGATATTGAATTTGTGTTCTATTATTGTCATTCAATTTGAGTCTAACTTTAGAATTTCATTTCTGTGCATTTAGTTAATTCAAGCCAACCAACCATTAATGCAGGAAATGAAGTCAGTGATACACCTCTCAATAATATTGTGGCAAACAATGGGCTAGGTAAATGTCAGTTATGAATTGATATTTCCAATATTTTTAAAATGAAAAATTTTGGAATCTGTAACTTTATATGTTATTGTAGCAATCTCACCAGAACCATTGATTCCACAAAGTGCATCTGCTGCAGTGGTCCCAAATTATCTCCACAATAATCCACATCTTACAGTGTTTGATGATCTTTCATTACAAATATATGATGAAATATGTGGAACTTTTGATGGAGGTGCACCTTTGAAAGATTGGAGGGCCCTGGCTGGCTGGCTGGACTTAACTGTTAAAGATGTCAAGGGAATTGAAATAAGGGAAAACAATTACAAAACCAGTCAAGTAATTCAAAGATGGGCAGTGGCAACTGAAAACACTGTAGCTAAGTTTGTTAAAATTTTGGAAGAACATGGAATGACATGCTTGGCTGACAAGATTAATAACTGCATACGTATTTAAGTTGTTGATGCATTTAATTTAATTTAATTTAATTTAATTTAATTGATTTTCCACTTTAATAATACAAAAAAAAGATTAACTAAGATACTAACAAATAAAATAAAATACAGTGAGGATGGAATAAAAAAGGAACAACATGAACCATACTAAGCTATTCTACCCCGAAAAACAACAAAAAAAATAATAGAAAGTATTAAAAAAAAAAATTAAAAATAAATAAATAAATAAAAAAATTATAGAAATAATAAAAAAAAAATTTAAAAAAAAATAAATAAAAAAATTTAAAAAAAAGATTAACTAAGATACTAACAAATAAAATAAAATACAGTGAGGATGGAATAAAAAAGGAACAACATGAACCATACTAAGCTATTCTACCCCGAAAAACAACAAAAAAAATAATAAAAAAAAAAAAAAAAAAAAAAAAAAAAAAAAAAAAAAAAAAAAAAAAAAAAAAAAAAAAAAAAAAAAAAAAAAAAAAAATAAAAAAATAAAAAAATAAAAAAATTAATAGAAACATAACTAAAGTCTGGTTTTCATTTGCTTGTTGCCACTTCCAAGCATATGTAATTGTCATTAGAATGTCCATGATCTTAACCAGAAGACTGCTTTACATGCTGCACTCTGTGTCAGTGTACTAGGTAGTACCAATAAGAAAGCTTTGGATTGATAGGGATAGAACTACCTGAAAATACAAGGGGATCTTTGATGTTTTGAGTGAAGCCAGGCCCTTTCACTACTAACTTCCAGACAAATTAGACCTTTGCTTGAAATGGCAAAGTTCTCCTTGCTTTACATACAGTACACAAAAGACAAGATTGATCCAGACTTAGTGATGATGACTTGGTTATGACTGCAATCAAGTGGAAGCCAGGCGCTTTCTCCTATATTGACAACAAGCATATCTGGTATCTAGGAAATATTTTACACAAGGCTTATTTTATTTTTTTATCAATCATTTTTAACATTTAGGCCTGTTTTAATTATACGTTGAATTTCAGTCGCGTCGAATGCAATTCAAACAATAGATAATGAAGCTTAATGAGGTTTATCATCTCATTATCTATTGTCTTAATTGCATTCGACGCGACCAAAATTCGACGTATAAAACAGGTCTTATCTTTCTTATACTAATGTTACAACGCTTGCAAAAATCAAACTGATTTTGTATTTTTAAATCACCATCCATTTTATTCAAAATAGCCTTGACTTTTACTTCTTAGTTTTGAATTTAAATGAACTTCAGTTGGCAGTTTCTACAAAGACCATGTAAATATTACTGTAAATATAAGTATACGTAAGTTGGTACTTGGTAAGGGGACATGCACCAATAAGCGTGATGACTTGGAATGTACATGCAAGGATGGCTATGTGATGAACAAGGAAGGAACTGCATGTAAAGTGTACAAACCACAGCTGAGCACATCAGGGAAGCTTACAACAATTAAACTAACCTCAAAGAAAGCAACACCAAACCCGACAACAAAGAAATTGACAACCAATAACCCTACAACAAGCAGTACGAATGATTTAGTACCAATCAAGAACGGAAAGATGATATATCCGAGCTGCCATGGAAAGTTGCCATACCATTTATAGTCCTTGCTTTTATTGTTGGCATAGTCATGTGCGTTGAGGACAAACTCAAGTGGTATGGTGGATTTATGCTATATTATATAATAATATATATTATAGGTATGGTAGTTTGCTTATAATTAAGCTTCCAACACAAACCAATCAGTATGGAAGCTTATTTTGGAATACTACCTATACTGAACCATTTCTTTTTCAGCAGTTCAGGCATAAACCACAGCAGTTTATAATTAAATCATGCCATTGCATGCAAATTTTCATCATCTACGACCAGAATTCATGAGATCAAAAATATCAAACTTGTACAGAAACAATCTAATATTCCTCATAGGTAAAGTTGAGAAGAACTTGCCAAGCGCTGAACTATTGTTGGACAAAACTGAAGCAGGAAAGAAAGAAAAGACTCTAAAGTTTAGCAATTAATATAGGAAGGTATTGCGTCTTAATTTTGCAGTTTCTCTTAATTTTATTTGAACAAAAAAGCATGTAAGTCTTGCAGTTATAGCTCATTAAACATTTAATGTTTCACTCAATTTATGTTGCTTATGTAATTGTAGAACAAACTAAAGAAGATGACTTACCCAGAGTCAATGGACCCCATTGCATGGAATCCACTGGTGGATATGGTAAATGAAACTGTATTTGTTCTTTGTACAAATTAACTTGAATGATAACTAAATATATAATAGTATGTACTTTAATTATTTACTGCGTTATCACCGCTATTAAAATAGTGAGATGCGAACTATACAACCTACAGTCCTACACTGAATTTTAAGACTTGTTAGGTAAGAATTGAGACACAAACCACAACAATGGGTGATTTCAGCTATGGACGAAATTTTGATCTAGATAAGAAGGACGAAATCCAACAACACACCTAGAAAGAGCGTCTTAAAATGACTAATGTTGTAAAGATTGGTTGCTAAATATTGTAAAATGAAGAAAATATAGCCCTGTGAAGTTAGCAAATTTTGCGCGGGAAAAATAAACATTTTTGAGCGGAAGTACAAAATTTGCGAACTTCACAGGGCTATATTTTCCTCATTTTACGGCAACATTTAGCAACCAATCTTTGCATTGTTACTCATTTTAAGATGCTCTTTCTAGCTGTGGTGTTGGATTTCGTTCTTCTTGCCTAGACCAAAATTTCGTCCATAGCTGGGAATCACCCATTGCCGATCATAGAAACTTATAAGAAAGTACCTACACTAGCCCCATATTTGTCAGATATATTTTTCAGGTGGTTTAATTAGACACACTTATAACCATGCTAGTTTATGGTAAAATACTACCTGTCGGAAGCCAACATTTAAGATGTTTGGATTCTCCATTCTGATATAAACTTTAGCCTAAGCAATTATAGATGTTTATTTTTTCATTTAGTGGCCTCAAAACCAGCTGCGTTAGATAATGATGTCAATGTATATCCTGATACGAATATCGCCACATTACCCCAGACTCCAATTGCACCAAACATTACCAATATTAACATGGCTAGTACCTCAACTACAAAATGTGATCATGTAGTTCTTGGAATACCAAAAAACATTTTCGTGAAATCGGTGAAAAACCAAGCAAATGAGTGGTAATATATCTCTACAAACCACAAGATATGTCGCTGAATGTGATCTGGTCTCTACTAAATGGTGGTCTCTACTACTTCAGTCATGAGTTATTTATAAGAATATATATATTTGTATTTTCTCTGTTCTTCTCCGACTTTGTCTCTTGTATTATTCAAAAGGCGTTTTGTATAGTTCTTTGCATTTCTATTTAAGTAATGTTTTTACATTTTTTTATTTTTAAGTTTGAATAAATTTTCTTAGACTTAGGATTTTTTCACTTTTTGACAAGTGCTTGCACATGTATCCAGGCCAAACCATAGCAAGCTGGGGACTTGACGTAAAAATCCACAACCCTGGACTTGGGTTGGACTACACAACCTCTCAAGCACATGGGCGTACCGGAAGGAAAAATTTAGGGGGGCGGCTAGAAATTTGCCCGAGTTTTCTGGATTGTGCCCGACAAGTACCGAAAAATTTTTTCCCGGAATTTGTTTTGGCGACCTCCTCCTCCCCCCCCCTCGCCAAAAAAATTTCGGTCAGTGTACCATTTTAGGGGTCAAAAATTTTCCGGACATACCAAAAATTGTCCGGAATCTACAAAAAATTGGGAAAGATCACAAAATTTTCCTCAAAATTTACAGAATTTGTCCAATTTTTTTTTATTAACCAAAATTGCCCGACTGTTCAGCGAATATTGCCCGACTGCCCAAACTGGGGGACGCCCCCCGCCCCCCGCCCGGTACGCCCATGCTCAAGCATTGCTAAAGTATTTTGACCCCCTAGTGGGAAAAAATGACATTTAAAATATTAAAACTTGTAAAGCAATTAATATATAGGTAATACCAATAAGAAAGCTTTGGATTGATAGGGATACAACTACCTGAAAAATACAAGGGGATCTTTGATGTTTTGAGTAAAGGCCCTTTCACTACTAACTTCCAGACAAATTAGACCTTTGCTTGAAATGGCAAATGTCACAAAAGACAAGATTGATCCAGAGTGGCCGTGATTTGGTTATGACTGCAATCAAGTGGAAACCAGGCGCTTTATCCTATATTGACACAAGCATATCTGCTATCTAGGAAATATTTTACACAAGGCTTATTAGGAGTATTAGGGAGGAGTATTATGCAATCGATTTATACGATGCGAAATTGAATCAATAACAGGAAACGAATACTCAATGGCAAGCACTTGGAATATAAACCTAATATGGAAGTACATGATATTGATGGTTTCCGTGGCTCGAAATACATGACGACTACATCACAGATTAAGAATATACTTAATCTATGACTACATATGACGAAAAATGATTTTCTCAACTGCAAAAAAAAACACGTTTTTGTACATAAAAGCACGTGGTACAAAGGGAAATCCCCCTAAAAATTTGCTGAGTCATTATTTACCCAAGATCCTTTTGGGGCATTGACCTGCAAATTAGAATTTAATTAATTAATTTCACGGTCAGTATAATCTGTAGACTGCGGACTGCAGACCGGACTGGGCACAAAATGCAGACTGGGGGTATAAAATGCAGACTGAGGATAAAATGCAGACTGGGGGTGAATTAGGGATATTTTACAAATGCCTGCCCTAGAACACCATTATCTCGTTGAAAATGTTAAAACACAGATAATTTTAGTTTTTCCTTCATCGTATTTACTCGATCTTTGTCGTGGTCATCGATATTAGGCATCAATCTTGAGGAATTACCGCTGATTGAAATTCATATAAGGCGCGAAGCAACACTTGTGGATGGGGGAGGGGGGGGGGAGTATGATGGCAGCAGTCCCTAATCATGCTCCTATTCGTAACGCTAATCCTAATGCAATCGGTGGGTTTTCAAAAACACCACTCATATTCACGCATTTTTGAAAGCTCGATCTGCAACAAAAGCAGACTTAAGCATTTGGCATCCAAAACTGATGAAAGTGACTAGCTTCAACATTAATGCCATTAATATTATCAACAACGATCATGTGACTATGTCTTGGCGGGAATTTGTGAAATATCCCTAATTCACCCCCAGTCTGCATTTTATCCTCAGTCTGCATTTTGTACCCAGTCCGGTCAGCAGTCTGCAGTCTGCAGATTATACTGACCGCCGACGAAAACACGATTTCAGCCATATTTTGCTGTCTTGTTTGCTTTTTATCGCCGAATCTCGCAAATATCATCCAGTTGTTGTACTTTTACATAATCATAAATGGTTGAAGAAGATATCAAAGAAGGTTTCATCCACTTTTGAAACAGTGCAGTATATTTTATCTTCGATATTGTGTCCTTCGATATTTCGTCAAATTGCCGCCATTTTAATGGCTCGCCACTTCTCTGCCCGATAAATGCCACTCTTCGTTTTCATATGTATTTACATTACTATTATCCAAGAGTATACGTACTCTTGTACGTACGTACTTACTCGCGAACTTGCGCGTGACTTTTAAATTACTTCTTTTGAATTCTGACAGGACAACTATTATGGGAGATTTTTTCTTCCCAAGTACAAATAATGTTTTCAATTTTTGGATTGGGACTATTCCACAATGAAGTACTCTTGGATAATGTAATGTAAGTACATATGAAAACGAAGAAGTGGCATTTATCGGGCAGAGAAGCGGCGAGCCATTAAAATGGCGGCAATTTGACGAAATATTGAAGGACACAATATCGAAGATAAAATACACTGCACTGTTTAAAACTGGATGAAACCTTCTTTGAAATCTTCTTCAGCCATTTATGATTATGTAAAAGTACAACAACTGGATGATATTTGCAAGATTTGGCGATAAAAAGCAAACAAGATGACAAGATATGGCTGAAATCGTGTTTTCGTGGGGGTAAGTGAAATCGTGTTTTCGTGGGGGGTAAGTGAAATAAAATGTATTATATTTAAAGAAAACAATGACAATCCTCATGAAATCAACAATATTATATTAAATTAAGCATAGTTTTTCATCCCATGATAACTTTTTTTAGGAAATAAGAATATTTAATTTCTGCCAGGCATATTAGGGACGGACCATTAGAAAAGTGATGGGGGGGGGACAGAAAAAAATCCATGCAAACAAAAACTGTTTGAAAAAAAATTACAAACAGAACAACAATAGAACTTTCATTTTAAATGTACATCAGACAAAATTGAACTAAATCTTTGGAATATTACGAAATATAAATATATAAATATATAATATATTAATATGCAATTTCTTTCAATATTAACAGTAACTCTTATATAGTTTTATTGTATACTATCAAAATATTTTCTATTGTCTTTAATAATCCTTTAATAATAATTGACTCCAGTATATAAGCGCCCTGATAGGTCCACCACCATCATCACCATAATTACCTTGGATAAGCTAAGTTTGAACATCCTAACTTATTTCCACACACACACTCTCTCGCAGCTCTCGGCATCAGGACATGTGACATCATCTTTATATAAAACGCGGCTGATCATTCCAGGGAAGACTATAATAAACATGGGCAATATCTTGAGAAATCCAACAAATATTGTCCCGCCTTTCGCGTGTACGACACTCTTGGCTGCCAAAGCACGTTGAACCATCACCTACAAAATATGACAGTGAACCTTCAGGTCACTGAAAGGGTCCTGTTGGAGGGAAGAATAGGGTTTCGCTCGTCAGACGTTTAAACCTTACAATGTCACAGTATTGAAAGGTTGCCTTGTCGCTTTCATAATTCTTCATATTGTTCTCGTGTCATATATCCATCTTAGACAGCGTTTGTGCCGTGTGTCCATTTCAACGGACTTCGATGTCTTGGATTTTGCCTTAACGACGGATCTAACTGATCTAAAAGCTTATTGCTACATCATACAGCCCCTAAAGTAGATTAATGTCCAATACCTCTGCAAGATGTCCAATGGACATATTGAAATGTCCAGTGGACAGTTGATTTGTCGATTGGATCTAATGGACAGGCATAAGTCCACTGGACATTTGGTTGTGCATTAAGTAAGTTATCTCGAATGACGTCATATGTTGGCATCGACCCCATGCAGGTAGCAGGCCAATGAGATGGCAAAGAGAGTATGTCCAATGGTCCATTGGATCCAATGGATCCATTGGACATGCATATGTCCATTGGACATTTCAGCTGTCCATTGGATCTAATGGACAGGCACATGTCCACTGGACATTTGATTTGTCCATTGGATCCAATGGACAGGAATCGGCCCACTGGACGTTTGGTTGTGCAGTAAATAAGTTATTTCGAATTTCGTCATATATGGGCATCGACCCCATGCAGGTAAGCAGGCCTGTGAGATGGCAAAGGGAGTATGTCCAATGGTCCATTGGATCCAATGGATCCATTGGACATGCATATGTCCAATCGACATTTCAGTCGTCCATTGGATCCAATGGACATAGAGATGTCCACTGGACAATTGATCTGTCCATTGGATTCAATGGACAGGAATATGTCCACTGGACATTTGATTATGCAGTAAATAAGTTATTTCGAATGACGTCATATATGGGCATTGACCCCATGCACGTAAGCAGGCCTGTGAGATGGCAAAGGGAGTATGTCCAATGGTCCAATGGTCCATTGGATCCAATGGATCTATTGGACAGGCATATGTCCAATGGACATTTCAGGACAATTGATCTGTCCATTGGATTCAATGGACAGGAATATGTCCACTGGACATTTGATTATGCAGTAAATAAGTTATTTCGAATGACGTCATATATGGGCATTGACCCCATGCACGTAAGCAGGCCTGTGAGATGGCAAAGGGAGTATGTCCAATGGTCCAATGGTGTCCATTGGATCCAATGGACAGGCATATGTCCATTGGATATTTGGTTGTGCGGTAAATAAGTTAACTCGAATGACGTCATAGGTTGACATCGACCCCATGCAGGTAGCAGGCCTGTGAGATGGCAAAGAGAGTATGTCCAATGGTCCATTGGATCCAATGGATCCATTGGACAGGATATGTCCAATGGACATTTGATTTTGTCCATTGGATCCAATGGACAGGCATATGT